TCTCCCTTGATTACACTTCGGTCCCCTCTCACAATCTTCACTACTAATTATTAAAATAAATCTACCTATATATTACTTATTTCTGAAATTTGATCCTTATTATTCTTCACATTGCAACTAACTGGTAATGGGATAGCTGCTGGTATCCAGAAACCCTACTGCCCTGAAAAAAGTTTTCATTCAAATCCCGAGACATACAAGCTCACAACCAACTGACTAGAATTAGACAATCGAGTGGCTAGACCCCATTCATTGGAAACTACCGAATACCAGGGATCGTAACGAAAGAACAAGAATCGAGCGCAAAGAAATCAATTGGTTTACACTAGCTCGTGGAAAAGATATTGGATATTGGATCTGGAGCCGGTATGTACAAAACCATCGCTACGTCTTGGTCACGCATTTTTATTTTTGGGTTTTTATTGACTTTATCTTAATAGGTATTGAGCAAATTTTAACCATTTTAAACTTTGTTTCTGGTAATCACCTGAGAGCACGTTTTTGTAACACCCGTACCCACTGATCATGTAATGTCTCTTAAAGGTTCGCGATTACGTCTCCGTATCATCTACTTACCTATCTCTCTTTATGCTCATAAATGTATTTAATTCAACGAGTCACATATACGCAATATTACCCTTTAGAGGGCCAAAAACCACTCCGTTGCCTGATCTTGGTGTATAACGTTGCCCATAGTATTCTCCCCACTCATTTTCGGGAAAAGTCATGCTTCAGGTACCATTCAATCTAAGTAAAGTCTGAGACGACTCGCTTGAAAAACATCCTCATGGTTTGAGTCAGCAAGTTATTGAACTCGACTGAAGGTAATGATATCACGCTTAACTAGCTCCTTCCGAAGGTTCAGCTATTACTTCGGCTCTGCTGGTTGTAAAGAGGTTTTTTTCAAGTATTACTCCTCAACCACTTTTGTTACTGGCTAGTTTGTTTTACCTTTAAGGATCCAGCAATATATTGAACATCACATATTTACGTGATCAAAACCACTCCTCGATTACTTAAATGCAAATTTCAAGGCAAACTGTTCTCTGACTATACCAACGAGAGTTGCAATTGTAACAATTAGTTTTGAAATAAAAGATACTTGGCCGTGGATTCGACAGTATGGGTAGCTTTCATTTGTTGCATGGTTCTAGGGATAACTGAACTTCTAGCCTAGTAACCCATTTGTCTTGCGGAGGATTTTTGATTATAATTTTGACTAAAAAGTAGAAATTGAGGTCCCAATGGTGATTATCTATGATTTAGATGACCATTCAATTGTTACTTCAGATTTTGTTAACACCTCTATTTAGTTGCAAACAGCCTTTCTGACCAGTAGAAACTCATGTGTTGATTATAGTCCTTAGATTTTGTAAAGAAGCCATGCCGTGACGCAAGTACTATTGTAGTGGTTTGCGTTTAGCCAGAAGGTACCTTGTGTGCCAGGGAGGATACAGAATAGCATGGGTTGGAAGACCAAAAAAAGATGTTGGTCGGCTACCCAGCAAGCGCACTTAATGTACTTACGTTTAATAAGGATGGTGATAAACAACGGTAATCACACAAGTTTCAGAATCAAAGGCTCTGAAAAGCGGAACTAGGAGCAAATAACAGGAAAATTTTAGTTCGTTACAACTATTATGACTTTAAAAAGAAATACAAAACGGGTCATAATATTAGAACGAAGCTGAAAAAAGATAATTACGAGTAGTAACACTGGTTAATACAATTTTATGTTACATGTTGTAGCCCTCCGCTAATGTTGAAGCCAGCATAATTTTTACCCCTACCATACTCAACTTGCAGAACTTACATCGGAATGGCAACCTCAAATGAAAAACTTAATTATTAATATGAAATTCCAATTCCTTTTAGTATGACTGTATAACGCTTGGGATTCCGTGTACGTCTGTCATAATAAATTTATATCTTATTATTTCGTCCTTTTAGAAACTATGTTGGATGAGTCTAGTTATATTAGCAAGCCTATTTCTACGATAGAAGAATTGATCCAATGGAGCTTTCCGGCCACATCGAATCTCACATTACCTTTAAGTTGTATCGGTGACTTTTTAAATGGTAATTTATCTACTTTTTTTTCACAAACCAAATAGACTCTGGCTTTACCCGTAAATCCTTAACATTGCCTAAAGTCGTATATTGTCATGATATGGCTGGAGGTTATCTATCTTCTGATCGGACAGTTGACTTTACTTGTGTTTTTCCTGCCTTTCGTTTCGTTCATTGGCACTTGGTTGACATATTTATTTACTTCAGTCATCACTTCATAACCGTACCACCGGTGTCGTGGATTAATCTAGCCCACAGGTAAGCTGCTTCATAAAATTTCCCAGAACATACCCATTTTAAGTGTTAATTTATTTATCTCTGATGAAAGGTAGTAATAGCGGAGTCATAACTATGAGGTCAATTACTTAGATTGTCAAATAAGTGTTTCTCACCGATGCAAGCCGAATGCATGGATATTAATTAATGTTTGGATTCTGTTTATTTAGCCGTTTGTTGTATATTCTTGTATCATTCACATAAAGTGTACAGTTTTTGAAAATGTGAGTGAAAAGAATCGTGTTTAAACTTCATAATATTTGTACTTTTAGCAAATGTTTTCTGAATTTACCGTCACAGATAATATTCTCATGCAAAAGTGATTCATGATCCCGAGACTGAATTACTGCAATTATATTTTGAATAGCAGTATTTGATAGTTGCTATCCATGTTTGCAGTTATAGGGACTCCTTATATGGCTAAGAATATCTACGTTATTCATTACTTTAACTCTTTCAAAACGAAATGCCTTTATATAGAAACACTGACCGTAGTGTTTTTCTAAAGCATAATAAATTCAACGAAATGTTTTCCATTGGCACATCACTCATGAAAACTCCCAATTATTTTCGACAAATGTTAATATCTGTTCATAATGATTCTCACGAATATTACTCTAATTGGTAATAAAGTGAAGTGGCGGCTGCACAGCCAATCTTGCAATGTTAAACTCGTTTATATTTAAGACTATAAGTCTGTAACATCCTGTTTCACAGACTTAAGTTGCAGTTAGCTTACGGTCGCCAAGTATATTTAAACTTTTCATAGTCCGTAAAACTAAACAACCGCAACACGAACTGATACTTAGGTACTGATATGGATGTATCACTTGTATTCTCTTCATGCGCGAAGTGTTTCGTTTTTTGACTCTACAGTATGTAAATATGTACGCGGTTTCTATAATTCTTTCTCAGTAAACTGTACTTGTGCTGAAAATTTAAAACGCTTTTTCTGGTCATGTTCAAGACAAGGTGTCAGTGTGTACGGTACTGTAATTGTGGAATCAATAGAGTGTGATGCATTTCAAGTCGTTTTTATGAGTTCCCCGGAACATCATCTGGAAGTTGGTAAAGCAATATCAAACTATAAAGATTTTGCTATACGATTGGATCAAATAAGACGTGTTATTGGTTTCGAGGGCTGGTTTATTAATTTTGAAGTTAGTCTACCCAAGGTATGCAAATATATTTCCAATTATTTTAGAAATTTATTGGCCTCTCTTATTATTTCGAAGGTCGGTTAATTCTGAAATCTTTTCTACCACAAACCTTTATGAACTGGAATAGTAGTGTATTCGTTTGAATGGATTAATAATTGTCTTTAAATATACTAAATAAAAAGGCTTTAGTGTTTACTTCGTGTAATGTGGATTGAATTTCTAAGACAAATGTTTGCTCTCAATCTTGTAGCATATTATGAAATAGATGTCATTCACCATCAGTAGTTTTCCTGCTAAAGTGAGATCGGGATGGAAAAAATAGCAATTAAACTTATTGAAATTGAATCATAATGCTAAAATTCCTAGTGGACATAGTTGTAGATATTAAATTAATGAAACTTCTGAATCACTGTCGTTTCAAAACAGGCATCAATATGTTAAATATAGTTTTGCTTCTAGATATCTAATATCACTGATGTCCTAAGTATTATGTACTGGTCCACCAAAATTTATAAATCTAAGCTTCTTACTTTGTTTGCGTCGTAACGTTTCATGTCAATCAATTATATCGTCCACTGTTTTATACCAGTTGAAAAAAAGTGGTAGTATGGTAGAAGGAATATGTTTAAATAAGTTAAAATCCAGTTGTACAAATGCCGTATTTTTTATTTACAGTTAGCTGTCCTGTGATTTTAGCCTTTGAGTTTATGATTATTTCTGTTGTTGGTTTATATCCATTCTCGCTTTTTTCTATCAATATATGAGCAAATCCTAGTTCAAGTTTTATGATTATCCAAGTTTGTCTTATGATTTATAAACCACAAGATAAATATGTGTAAAATTTATTTGATTAGTGTCATTATTATCTTTTAGGATAAAATTACTGCAGTTCGTGATCGAATAAAGAAATTTCTACGATTGCTTAGAAGTCTTGGTTCTGAGGTCATCTGGTGCGTATTTTAGCCTCATAACAACTAACTATATCAGTTTTTCTGTTTTTAAGAATCTTTTAGTTAAAATGAACATCAAGATAGTTTATAGTGCGCTAAGTGCTGTTTTTCTTAAATCTTTTGTTAGTGTGATTGTAACTAATCCCTGTATATATATATATTATATACCAATGTTTGAAGAAAGCATGTTGTGTAATTTTATAATTATTTCTTCTTACATGTGTACTAGTGGTTAAAGTACTCAACTTTCAGTTGCTAGGTTGTGGATTATGACTTCACTTTGTTTGCTTCGGTTTTACAGATCAAACGAAACTGAGATTCGAGTACACACATTCAGTTTGTATGATAGCTTCTTTAATATCACGACTTTCTAAAAATTATTATTTGAATTTTACAACAACGACAATCTTACTTCTAAGTAGAACCTGCATACTATTATTAGTTGTTGACAGATCTTCATTGTTCTTCATTAAGGTATGATGCATTAACCTGGTCTGGCCGCTTAGACTTTCAAAATGAATTGACCGAAGAAAATTTACCATATATGAAAGCGGCTGGAAGTGGTTTATTCCTCAACTATAATTGGAATGCAGTTAAGTTACGACAGTCACAAGAGCTGTAAGTGACCTTTTTAGATAATTACGTATATTCCATTTTGAATGAATTACTCATAACTGGAATTTCTAGGCTACAGTAACATTGAAATATTGTAAATGAAGCTCATGCAGGGAAGTTGAGTTAACGTGTATTACTTACCCACACCGCTAGTTACAGTTACATGGATTGGAGAAACTAAAATAACCAAATAATAATGCAAATGTCCCCGATTCAATCTTTAATTAGATTTTGTGTACTGAATGCTAAAGAGTTTAATTCTGGGACAAAACATCTATTCAGTCCCGACTGTAGCTGCTACCTTGACGTGGTGGTCGGGCTTGCTTATCGTCATGACCCAACCGAGCTATACTGGCTGTAACACATGTTCCTGTATCTCCTTCCATGTCACGCAGGTCGATTGGAGAACGATGAGACTAAAAGCAGCTACTCAAGGTCTGAAGGCGAAGTTGTATTGCTGACTGTAGAGGGGTGTGACAGCAGCAGAGTGTTTCCCTCGGACAACCAGCATCTACAGCGATGCTGCCTTCTCACAAGGAAGGAAGGGTTAGAAAAGGTCGACCCTAAAAATGTTACACCTCACCTTATCTTCCGGCTTTCTGTCTCCGGCTAATACTCTGGATTCCTCATCACTTTTATCTTTCTCTTTTTAAGTTTATTTCACTGGATTATACTTCTTGAATAATATCTTCGAACCCTAATCTCTGCCATTATTGCTAATACTTGTAATACCTCTACTACTATGGAATTTGAATCAACAATTGCGTCTCTGTGTTAATATTTTATGGCAACTTCAATTAATGTACGTACGTACAAAGTTCTACGTTGTAATTGACACTCTATTCAGCACTTCCTGATTTCCGGCGACTGCCTAACTAAAGTCAGTTCACAATGTAAAGCTACAAGATTCATTGATTCTAGCAACCCTCTACCATAGTAAGTATTCTGGTAACGTGTTGAATCTAAATATACTGCTGGTTAAATAAATGTATAATGCATACGGATAACTTCTTCGAGATTTTCTTACCTTGTGGAGTATGTGTAATATCTGCTTGAATATCAGATAAAGGAGGGTCGGGAATGGGGTTAACGCACCCCCGTAGAAAACCAACTCGCCAAAACAACGCTTACCACAAACCATTTTAACTCTGTACTAGGAGTTGAGAAGTCTTCACTTAGAAGAGTTATGATGCCACATTATGAAAGCCGAGTTTCTTCAGAAGTCTCGAGGCCGATCACCCTATTGACAACCAAAGGTACATGGAATATTCATACATTATGGTTGTAAAGTTCTGATATGAAAAGCAGATCAGTCGAAAGCGTTGTAACTAATCAATTAACCAAGTACCTAGTTATGTGTGTTAAGCATATAGACTTCACCATTTCCTAAACACATGGTGCGCTAACCAATGTTAGACGCTAGAGTATTAATTAAGATTGAACACCAAACGTTAGTCTTCCTATCTTCATACCCAGCATTTTTACTACCTTTGGATTCGATCAACTGCTTTTCTCTACTTTTCTTTCAAACCAAATATTAGTACTGTCAATTCTTCAATGTCAACGAAGGTGTTCGTCGGTATTGATTGTTTTGGTCGTGGTTGTATTGGAGGTGGTGGTTTCGGTACAGCTGAAGCACTAAAAGTTATTTTAGATATTAACGTAAGTTATTTTCTGTGATTTCCAATTAAATTGCCTTAAATAACTTAGACTGTCAGTTTAGTCTGTTAAATCATCGATAATGTACTACTTTTAAATGTTAATGGAGTGTTATGTGTGTTATCGATAGTTGACTGAACAATAAGCCTATTTTTAGACAAGAAATTTCGGTTCTGTGGTATAAACGTAAAATATTCAGTTCACATTCTATTGAATAAACCTGTCTTATCTTAATTTTACAGACATTGAAATGTTGAAGATGATTTCCACACGATATTGTATGAAATCACGTTTTAGGCGAATACATGTTGATTGATGGAATGAATACCGTGATAAAGCAGTTGAAAAGCTAATGTGTTTAGTAAACCTATCTCCAAACATCAGCTAAATACATTCAGCTGACTGATTACGTTTATTAAGGAATTAAGTGTTATCTATAGATAAAATGTCTACTCAAGTTATTATGATTTGTCGGATAAAAAGTAATTGATGAGATGCAAATGGTCACCCATATGTGTTATACATCTATGTTTCACTCATTTTAAAGAGTAGCATGCACTTCAAAATGTATTTAAACAGCATTGTTTGATCCCCTTGTGTGTTCTTAGTATAAGTTTGGTGATTATGTCCATTTATATTTTTTCTAATAATTATTGATAAATAAATGCTAAAAAGAAAACAATCTTTATTAGGTGTGAACATTTGGTATAGTTTAATTTTCGTTTCCATTTGTATTAATATCCAAGAAAATCTTTACCATTACGCTTACTTAAAACACGATGTCCACTTTCATTAACATAATCAACATAACTTCATTCTTTCCCACTGATTTTAATCATATTCCACAGTCTTCTAGACCCGATCGCCCATTATCAGTGGCTTTATTTGCACCTGGCTGGGTATTCGAAAAGTGCGATCTGACGAAAACTGCTGGTGATCCAATCAAAGCATTCAGCTTATTGGCAGAAATGGATGCAAAATTTTGGTCATATTTAAGTCCATTAATTTGTCGTCTACGGGGTCTAAATAGTGTTGATAATCTTACAATGCTACATAAACCTACACTTCCCAGTTTACCGGTTTTTCAATCACCTTGTGATTTATTTGAAAAATATGATTCAAATGTTTTATTTCGCACAACGTGTTGTTCTGGTCAAGGTTTATTGCCTTCAAGGTCTCACACAGCTCAAGGTGAATTGATATTGCAGTTTGGGAGTGAAATGGGTCGGCAACAAGTAGGTGAATTATTGTGCTTTCCACAATTGCTGTAATTGATTTAATGTGAGTAATAAGACATTGGCTAAGCTCATTTCTTTCTATGTTGTTAGATTCGCAACCTTAACTATGAAGTAGTGCAATTTTCCAATCGAGACATCGTTCTTACTAACCTTTCATTTGAATAATCAACACTATCAGACTTCGGATTCCTCATAATACTGGATATATTTTGATACCTAAATTGTACAGTTTCTTTTTACTAATCATAATTTCCTTAAACTACCAGGTTGATTGGTACATAGGAGAGAATTTTTAAAGGTTATAGTTACACTAACAACGATAGAATATATAATTTTCGCTTTTTTTTATAACATTTAGTGTAGATTTTTATTCAGATGTCATACAAATGTGTCAATCATAATTGTGTCAATGGTGTTCTAAGGACTGGTAACTATAAAGGCAATTGTGGAACATTGCTAAGTTTTACTAATATTATTTTAATAACTATTTTGGATACCAGAACCATATTGTCTTGCGTAAACTAAAAGTCAGAACTACTACATTGTAGTTCTTAGTGACTCGAAGTGGACATGCACATAACTTTTTTGATGTTGTCAATTAAACCTTCAATTCTGAACACTTACCTACTGCTTCCTGACTATAATATCTTAAAAATGAAGAGCTCCAACTATCATCAGAAAGCTACATGTATTTATAATGAGTTGTTTACGCAAGATACTCGATATCCGTTGACTGGGCACCATCAACCACAACTTACTATGTCAGAAAACGAACCAAATTGCAACTGAAGAGGAAATTAAGAAAAATCGCTCAAGGTGGATAGGACATATTGTGGAAATCAACAAACTGCATTGCAAGGCAAGCCCTGATTTGGATTCCTTAAGGCCAAAGGAAAAGAGGAAGACTAAAGACCGCATTGAGTCAAGAATTGGAGTCAGACATCCAAAAAAAAATGAATATCACTTGATAACAACTATAAAAGGGAGTCCTGGGCAGACTTGATCGGCGAACCCTGGTCAGTAGTCTGTGCTCTACGAGCGGTAATAGGCCCAAGTAAGAAGTATTAGTAATCCAAACCAAAAATCTAAATTTCCTTTGAAAAGAATATCACCTCAGTGATATTATGTATATGGTTGAAATTCTGTGAAATAAAGTCCACCTGATTATCCCGTATTCTATTTAGAAAATGAACAGTAATAAAATCATGATTACGAGTATCATTCACTGAAAATACAAATCAGTTTTAATTTATTGACAAACATTACCGATTAGATGTAAATGCAAGCTTATTCGGCGGCAAGAGTCTTTATCAAAATTTATCGATTTCATTACCCTGTTTTTACTAGCATTGATGAGGTTTTTCAAATTCATTGTCTTCCGTTTTTGTTACAGTACTAATATATAATTTTTTCCGTGAGTCAGTAGATCTCCCTTTTCTTCTATCGATAAATCCTAAAAACGAAAAGTTAGTTTAGGATATTCCGATTTATTTTGAAATATCTTTGTATTGGATTGTCATTTATTGGTCCATCATAGCCTCGTGGAGAGAAGGGTTTCTAGTGATCATTCACACTGCTGATTGGCTTGAAGAATTATTAGATGTTATTGTACCGATTTGTGCAGATCACATCCTTTACTGCCTATGGCAAATAAAATTTACTTTGAAATAGACAAGATGTGTGGTAATTCACGCTTGCTTTTTATTGATAAAACTGTTTAAATTCATTTTATGTTTAAATAATACGTTTTTGAATTGATGCATCATTTACTCAAATGATTCACTTAATTATTAGAAAAGATCTAATTGTCATTTCTGTAATGTTTACTATTATCTTATTCATTAGATATTTCCAACTTGCCGTGAACTAAACAAATCACTCACTGATAATAATATGACAAAATTTGGTTTTTCTGTGAGTCGTCACTTAATGATTATTTGATGGTTTTTCCCACTTTTTATCTTACTTATTTTATTAATTCAATTTTAATGGGTTGTTAATTTGTTTTATATAGTTTTTATCATGTAAGAAAGTGCATTCTTTCAGAGCTAATCCGCTTTTCGTCTTTTCTAATGTTAGTCTTTTATTAGGAGACTTACTTAGAATATACAGGCGACATTGTCCTGCTTGGTAAAGACTCAAGAAATACAGAGTCTTCTGATCATCTTAAACAACAATCCATGCATGTTTGTGATAAATTTTTTCTCACGTCAAGTGCAAAATGTAGCCTCAATATTGGTTATTATACGTTAACGATTATTCTTACTGTAGAGAACGAAATAGTTCAGCTTACCAACCGCTTCAATTATCTCGATAGTTTAATTACCCATCATGTCCAACGAAATCTCGACACGGATTCAGAAAGCCTTCATGGCTTGTGTCAACTTACGTCACCTGTGCTGAATGCGAGATTGTAGGTAGATGCAAGCTATTCAGATCCCACATTTAGTTACTTGGATCGATGGACATTCCTACTAGGCTCTTACATTGCTTCTGAATTCGTCATTCTCATGATAGAAATCGAATATCACTATCCTTTAAATTGTTATATATTTTCATTCGGTTTTTGGGAAAAAAATTATCCAAATTCTTGCTACTAACTGCTCGCTCACCATTCCTCAATTTTCTTTCAGGTACTAAATTATCTGCTTGTGGGTGGTGATAAATGTCCTCCTGTTATATTACTGGTTTTAAGCATTAAAAAGCTCCTACGTAGTTTGGAGTGCAGTTTCAGGCAACTAGATACAATATTCCGTGAGCTTCAGTTGTTAGCACAGATGGTGTACTAGGAATATCACTAGACATGGAAAGTGAAAGACACGTTCATAGAGAATAAGATAATCACCATTATTAAAAGTTTGGGAAAGATATTAGTATTTTCCTGGTTGTCCTTCTAATGGAGGAATATTTATAGTTGAGGAACCTATAAATGAAATCCATTAGCTACCAAATCTCTCACCGAATCAGGATCGTGTATCACATAACTAAAGATATAGTTACTGGTGAAAGGTTACGCAACAACTTTGTTCAATAATCAATTTTTTTGGAGTATTATCTTTTTATAACTTTTAAGACAAAATAGTTATCTAGGACTCCGTAATTTTTGATGGTATTATCGCCAAATTCAGTCCACATTGTAAACCAAGTTTAGATAGCCTGTTTGTTAGCTTTTTAAGATTGGATTTAATACTTTTAGATGGTTTATTTTGTGCATATACTCATTGCGTGTATTATTTCATTTCATAGGCTGTGCAAATTTTGGAAACAGGCTATGAAAAATTCACAGGAACATGTTTATGTATACGTTTTGAAAAACCCGATATACTAGCAAATTTTGAGAAACTGAAATCAAAGGATCCATTAATGGAGTTATTTCTTTTTGGTCATAATGCATTTATCTCTGATAAAGCACAATTTACATTAGCCATTACCCCATATACTTTAAATAAGAAGATATCTTCCTCTGTTGAACAACGCTTGGACCATAAAATTGGTTTCAAACTTTTTGTAGATACATTTTATTCCCCAAGTGAAAATGGAGGTGAAGTTAATTTTAAACGCACGTTTCTGATAGCTAATGAGGGTCAGTTTTTTATCTTAAATTTTTTGTGTATAACGACATTATCTTACTTCTAGAAATTTTTACTATGATTTCTATGTGTTTTTAATGTTGAAGTTCAATACAAAAGATCTATTTTTAACCATATGAGTTGAGTCTTTACGTGTTTGCTAAGTCTTAGGATGATTCTACTATGATGAAAAACTATGAAACATATTTTTTATATGAAATCTAAAAATAACTACCTTGTCATCCAAACCTGAAGTCGGTAGAACAAGGGACTGAAGACTTTGATCTTCTGGTTATTAGTGATTGATCAGTTACAGTTTGTTATAAATTAAGAGTTGATAAGCGAACAAGGGTTTTAATTGTAAAAATAACTGGATAGACTGCCGATCGGTTGTTGAAATTTGACGAAACTATGTGGTCGAGTGATGGTTGTGCACCAGACTGAATTATCGACCTAAGCTCCCGATCGAGCTGATCTCATAAAATAAGATGTTTGTTCAGTAGAATAGGTTTCCCATCAAATAAGTAACGTAATTATTTACAGAATGTTAACACAAAACTAACAATCATACGTTATAAAGGATTTAATAAGACCAACTTTGTATAAATTTTCATACCTACAGACATTAATCCCCAGCTGATCAAGTGTAATTCGGATAACGAGCCTATTATTGCTCTGTAAGGAAATTTTTCATTTACGTGCTGGAAATTGTGAAGTAATTCTCCAAGTTACAAATTCACATATTGGTACAGATCATAGTTGGATATTTAAGTTACAATAAGCTATCATTATCATAATGTCTGACAACAACATAATCTTAGCTATTAAATTCCTTTTGATTGTTTTTGCAAATATACAATTTAATAATGATAATTATTGCCATTAGGATATAACGTCATTCAATATATTATTGGTACAGTTGTGGTGTGAGCTACTTATAAGTAGTATAATACGTGAGTGTCAACGTAATGTCTGGCAGCAGAAGATGGGGGAAGATCAAGAAAAGAAGAGTTAGAAAACAATGGAATTTGTATGAAACGCATGAATAGTGACAATGGATTGATGTTTGGCAACAGGAACCGTCCAGTTCCATAGGATGAACTGATATTTTGCAAATTAACGATTTACGATATGGTTTTCTTATTTTACTGAGTAACTCTGTAATTTCCGTCGAATACAATCCGGTTGACCCACCTGTGTTCTCCTTCACTAGACAGTTACACTTTGATTATGTAAGGACTTTTACTTGTATACGACTGCCCAAATTGAAATAGGTTGAGTAGAAATCCTACGTATTAGTGAAATGTTAAAATGCAATAAACTAACTATTCAATCATTTGCTTGCCTGTTGTGAGCAAATTGCATGTACTGTTCTTTTATCAAGGCATCACGATACGAGGTTTATGTGTTTTACTCTTAAATCGTCTTGAAAATTTTCTATGTGATGAATAAGTTTTTTCTTATGAATATAACCACATTTATAATAGAGGTATAATGAACAATAAAAATCGGTTAATTATTATTATTATTATCTGTTATTGTTATATTTTTTATATTTTAATCTAGAAAGAATTGAATTAAAACACAGTAAACCATGGTCTGTACTACGTTACAATGTAACTGATCTTATTCTTGCTTCCGATAAAAACAATTCAAAGTTAGAGGACTCTTCACTCACCACAACATCCTCATCACATTGTATCCATTTACATCGTATCGGTTTAACTTGGAGTTGGAATTCAATTTTACACACTACCGATGAATCTATTCTGAGCTTAAATGGTTTTCTTCTAGGTTTAATTGAACTATGCGATCCTCAAAAATCATTGGAAAGTTATTTTGAATAAGAATTTCAAGTATTATTTTTTTTTTGCTCCACATTTTTCATTTTATTTGTTTACTGTTCCCTTTTTTTTTATTCAATTTTTTTTTTTTTAAATTTTGCATAATTTTTGTATTGTTATTATTTTTTTCTCTTTAGAAAATTTCAAGTAATTCTGATTAACGATACACTTATTCTTATCAATATAACATGATTGTTATGACTTTCAGTTTTTTTTTATGCTCACAGTCATTTTGTTACTTCCTTTATTTATTTATATTTTCTCTATTTAATCACAATAAAAATTTCTTAGAACTCGGCTTATTTGTTTTCTGATTGTTTGTTGTTTGTATGACAATGTCGCTCTTACAATGATTTCTTTATAATTAAATGGTACGTATGTGCATGAGTTGCGCTGCTTTCATATTATTTAAATTCGCCTTAATCTTCCAGTATTGATTCGAACTAATTTTTTTTTATTAAGTCTTCATTTCGCATCGATCTTACGCTATCCAAAATTAACCGCCGCCGTCCACGTTGACAACAGCCAAGTTTCCATTGTTCTCAACGCATTCACGATAGTCTCCAACATTCAGGCTCTTTTGCACTGTTTCACGTCTTATCTTCTATTCCTTGTCTTTTATATAATAGTGGTTCAGTTTGTAGCTTTCGGTTAGATGTCACAAATTTTGGTAATGTATTTGCACACAAGTTTCTTAGCTGTAATTGTATGCGCAGACGATTGAATAATAGCAATAGTTGTACATTTTCTTGTGTGGAAATTCATATTTAGCAGGAACTCCATTGAATATGAGCCTTGAATTTTCATTTTCAAGTAAAATACTTTGTAAGTGGTCTTTAAAGCTACGGTATAGCTAATATTACTTTAAAAACTGTCTCCTAATATTCGATAATGTCAACAATACAAACATATGGAAACCTTGAGTTTCTATGATTGGTATTTCCCATGACTGGTAGTTATTATTTAATTTAATTCATAGATATTTGAGCTGTCTTATTGCTGATATTCTTGACTAGTCTCAATTGGATTATATCCACCCTGTGTACGTTGCCTCAATATAGCTTTACAGCACAAGTTTTCATAGAACAGTTGGAATGTGGCGTGCAGTACAATCCAGTATGCGCATTTCGTCCTTTTTTTGACTTTTACGCTCGATGTACTTACATTCATGCGTTTTTCACAATATGACTCAACTCCAGTATCTTCTGCTTCAAACACCCAACGCGTTAAAATAATAATTCATTAAATATGACTATTGTTACGGAAATTTTGTTGTAGGTGGTGGCTCAGGTATTTTGCGTTTGTTCAAACGGATTTCTATGTTCTCTATTCATGTTGTTTCCATACGAGTTTTACATGTTAGATAGTGTGTTAAATTTCTTATTTATTTTCTGTAGTATCTGATTCACTCCTTATTCTTTATAAGTTTCACCCATTACGGTGGGAAAATTGCTTGCTAATGGTTCAACTTTTGATTTTTTTCAGATTCCTCAGTTAAGCCCATTCTCATCCTACTCCCTGTTACCAAATGTATCTAGTACTAGACTGCTTCGCTTTGGGATCTCATTCGTGCAACTCTGCAGAAACTCATCCAACCAGAGTGAAAAAGTCAGTGACTATGGTGCAGCTGCTACTAGGTTACGTTTTGCAGTTCCTTTGGTAGCATCTCGTTTAAAAAAGGCTGAAGGTGTCGGTGGTGGTGTAACAGGTCGGATGATGTTGCTAAGACGGTATGTTTCAAAGTTAATTGACGAGGAGCGCATCGAGTTACCATTTTCACATGCTACTGAAACTCGATTATACGCTGAGCGTTTGATTCAAGAAGGTGTCTTGGCATCAGCTGAACAGGATCTCGTTTCACTATTTGAACTCTGGAAAAATTCGAATGAGCCAAAAACTGACAATAATGTCAATATTGGTATTCTAGAGCTTTCTGTGTTTTGGTTGACTGATGAACGTTTGGTTGAAAAATTATTCAAGGTATTCGAAAGGCTGTTTGTTAATTTTATATGTTCTACAATTTTTTTTGTAATCTTATTTGCATGCATCAACTTACTAGCAACAGTAGGATTTGTGTTTAAGTTGTTGCCCATCATCAGTCGTATGCGGTATTGTGAGACGTATGATTTTTCCGTTGAAGCAATGCTCAGTCACACATAACACTTTTTAAACGCTAACTGAACTTACGATTTGGATAACGCAGAAGTGATTGACATTCGAAATTCCAGAGTCACCAGACCTGTGATAAGTGATAGCGTGGCATAGATAAGATTAAAGCAAGATTGCGTTAGCTGCACGCTGATTGGCTAATTCTTGTCCAATCAACGCTAGTCGATACCTAGAAGTATTCTAGAAGCTTCTCATGTAAAATCTATGAAGATACTAACGTTCCTATTTCGCTTTCTCTTTGGCTTCTTACTTCCATCTAACCTTGCTATTTAGAATATAATCTCTTGCCTGTTCAACCGTGTTCTGATGTGGGGACTTGTCGAGTAGATTGGTGTCCGAGAATGCTAAGCAAATAGTGATAGCTGGGTTGTAATAAAGATAGAATTATAACAATAAATTAATTTAATATTATTGTCTACAGAAAATTAGTTGTGTTATAACATTTGTTAGGTGAAATCAATCAAGTAGGTATATTTGTATCTATCTCAGCGATGTACCACGAACTTCAAGCATCTGGAACCAATAGCTGTGAGCTTTTCATGAGTGTATAATAAATGAAATAAAATTAAAGAACCCCTAATATGTCTAATAAACTTTATGTATATCTATGTATTTTAATATTTTAATAACCACTTGTTAACTAGTTACTGCATTTGATAAATTTTTCCTAGGAATGAAATTCAAAGTGTATATTTTATTGATCTTTGGCCTAGTTAAATTCAGGTGCATATTTATCACTGACTGTTTGTGTTCCTACACTAAGTCTGGGACTCAGTATCAGTGAAAGTTTAGATTGGTTAACTGTTAAGCTCCAAACCTGATCCATGAAACCAAGTTAACTCACTTTATAACAGAAACCTGTTAAATTCCGTAACATTAAATTTTTTTTCTGTTAATACTTTTTGTGCATATACTATAATATATGCGTACATTTTCTCTTCAGGTATTAGTACCAAGGTATCGGCTGTATGAGCATGCATACACTAGTCTATTTCGGATTGCTGGTCCAGTTCATCCGATAAAATATGGCGGTACTAAATTGTTTGGAATCTTAGAACTGCATGGAAATCCATGGCCACCTGTTCGTGGTCATGGCATAGCTGGACGAGACCTAAATCCGGAACCATTTAAAGATCGTTATCTTATCAATGTTCTACTTGATGCTGCACGTGAAGCAACAATTAAGGATAATTCTAAACTATCCAAGTCATCACCTCTCCCACTTGATTATGAACTGCGTCCAGTCGATTAGTTGTATGTGATGTACTTGTGAAATACAAAAGTTTATGTAAATATCTTCTCTTATCTATTACAGGATCATACGATTTCATACTTAAGCTAGTTTATATTCATCAGATCATTAATGTTCCATATTTCTTAAAAATATTTGAAAAAACCTTTCATATTATGAAATAAATTTTCATTTTGATACTCGTACTCTTCTTAATTTTTCGGTTTGTTGAAGAAAACTGTTAGTTTCAATAAATTTTAGAAAGATTATTTTATACTTTATAAGCAATTAAAGTTCTGACATTCTTTGGGTAGTTTAAAAATATGTATTTCTTAAATGAATTTTTTTTCGCAGTTTTATGAGTAGAATCTATTTGCTAAAAAATTATTATCATTAGCTGGTAACTACTATAAATAAAGGACTATTAATCATTTATTTCCTTACATCTTCCATGACTTCGGAATTTATACTTTTCCATGGCTAACTTAGGATATCATTGAAGTCTGCGGCAAGATTTTGTTGCTTTTACAATCAGTCAAACTGTATTATGTTATAATGAGACTGAAGGATAAATGTTGTGAAATTATCTGATTGAAGCCCGAAATTGGTCACTGAAATTAGGCCAAGTAAACGAAACTATATATATTTCTGAGGATCATAGTTTCATAGCTACTAGGCACAAACTAAGATGTAGTCATATTGCTGATTGTATTGAAATGTGGTTACAGTAAGGCTTTTTCCTGCGTGGGTCTGTGATTATACGGAAAGAGTGGTTGGTAAAGAGAAATTACATACATGGCTTTGCGGTAGATTTTCAGTACTGATTGTTGAGCAGCACAAAACCAAAAGTGATTACTTGCGAGAAAATTTGTGTATATAGTTATCTTTTTGTTTGGCAGTCATCTAGAGTCGAATATTGGATTTCAAACGCTTACTGGTTTCAAGAAACTAAGAGTTAAAAATAGTGATGCCACCCGGCAGACTAATTTCATAGGTCTAGTGAGAATTGTACAGATCCATAAATTCAAAAAATATTCGACCATTGTGCACGTTCAAAGTAATTACCATTAGAAGTCGTAGCATTAAATTGCGAGTATTTCTTGATGACAGTTAGTTGAGCGTCTGTAAACTCATTGATGGTTTTGGATATAGACTGCTTGGTTAATTGAAAGAGATCAGTACCATGTAGCGACTGATGTGATGTTCTTGACAGATGCTCGTGAATGCCTACTCTGCTGTCTATTTTAGTTGAATCTTTTTGAACGAAGTTTCTTATTGTACTTATTTGTTTGCCTTTGATCAACATTACAAATTAAGTCCTCACTTTGCGTTTAAGGTTAAATTTATGTATACATAAGAATCTAAAAGCATAATATACTTTTACAGGTTTGAAGGTGAGATAAATTTGGCACTTCAGAAATTAAAACCTGGAGAACACTAGAACGTTGTTGTATTGTTTTGTCCCAGTATACTAAACTACAACACTTCAGTGTTCACTGGCGCAAGCATTACAATCCCTTAGTACAAATTCATTATTTATTTTAAATTTTAAAATATATATGATTAACTGAAATCAAAACTGAATAATAGTATTCTCCATATAGAAAATGTCACTTTTCGATATCAGCTTTATGTATATCACCATGAAATATTTTTATTGTTCAAATATAAGTTTACTGATACACAAATTATATCCTTTATCGATTGATTAGTGTAATCGGTCATCGACCTTTAATTAATGTTATTTCTATTTCTCATGAACAACTGGATTCTGTCAAATAAAATACAATCAGAGAGGCAATATTAACAATAAACGGTGCATTTACATTCATCAATTTATAGTAGCTGATAATCATAATGGTAATAAAAGCATAACTGTAAAATTACATTAAGTTGATTTCATGGTGCTAAGCACGACACTGACCAGTAGTATTTCATGTAGTCTATGATATTTCCATTTTCTTGGTCTGATTTAAGTTTATTCAATCATATCTAGGTTCAGAAGTCTGGAAATTTGTTTCATGAAACAACCCTGTTAAAAATCACTAATCGCTGCGTAGTTTTATCGTATCATTTAACTTTCTAACAGTGCGCTTGATGGCAACGGTGTTGAGAAACGAACTCCGATCTTTGTAGATTTTATGGAAAGTGTTTAACCTTTAGACTATCCAGATTTGCTTTGAGGTGGTTCGTATCTCAATAATTCTCCAGTCGATTTTGATCGGTAACAAAAACCGATATCTGTAATGAATTTTTTATTCATATACATGAAAACATTTTTAATTATTAGTTACTTGTTAAAATGGTGTGGTTATTGAAAAAAAAATAGAATAATGGAGGATGTAGTTGTGTTTATAACATCTTACTTTAAGCGTAAACAGAGCATACATTTAACGAAAATAATAAAAAGAGACTTTCATTTTCGAAATTAAACACCGTAATGGTTGGAATTAAAAACTCACATTTCCAATATTTTCATGAAAGTTTATTAACCAAAACTGTTCTACTTAAAAAAAAACAGCTATTAAGAAATTTCCATGATATTTACTGTTACATTTTACATAGGGGAGGAACAGTTTACGCTGCAGTACATCATTTGACTTAGTTTAACTTGCAATTTACGCTACTAACCCCTTGCTTGGATATTGCCTTTAGGTTAACAGTAGAGATGGATGGTGGCTAGTAGTGGAGCCGAGGACGCGCGTTTCGTCCTATTTGGAGCTCATTAGCTAAATATACTTACATCTCAGAGCTCAATTTTAATACAGCTGAATTAAACTTCACCGCATTGCACGAGTGTGCCTATCTGAACTCAATAGCTAAGTAGATAACGTGTTGATGTTTGAAGTGAAAGGCACCGGGTTCAAATCTCGGAGTGAACAACAATTCTGATGCAGGTACATCCAGCTGACGAGTCCCTAAATGGGATGAAACGCACATCCTAGATTCCACTGCTAGTCACTCTCGGCCTCTGTTTAAGACAATTTAGTTTAGGACGACAAACAATTCTTTTACTTATTTTAAAACTGAATTAAAAAAAACTGATTTTAGCATATTCATTTAATAATTAATATACTAATGAAAATAATAAATTACGTTAAGTAGGCCATAAGATGTAGTTTTATTCGAGTCCATAATTTAGTGTTTAAAGCACTTCTTGTTTTTCAATGTTTCCATTACAGTTTAAAATTGTATTCCGTCTATTTTAATTCGACTAGTTAGCAGACATTAAGTAAAACCTAATACTTAGTTACATTACACTCTACCGAATAATCTCTTTGCTTTTTCTTTGATAGTTGAATGCAAAATCAACTACGAATACTATTTCATTTTGGATATGATCACAATAAATTATTATTTAAGAGTTTACAACTTAATCATATCTTAATTCGATGGAAAACAATTTGTCCAAAATTGTCACTTGATAATAACACTACTACTACTACTACTACTATATCATCATCTAGTCCTCAATGGGATATTTTACGTAAGTTACTATTATTTAATTTTACTTGAAATGGACTATATAGTTAAAAGTTCACTCTTTATATTTTTACTCTAGGGATTACTTTGCAAAATGGTTGATTATCACATATCTATTCATTTTTGTATTGAATAACTTTAATCAACAACTTTTATTTGATGATTTTAACATGACTACTCAGAAAAATAATTGTATTTGACAGTTATTAACTGAATAAATTTGCATGCAGTTAGTTCTTTTTATTTTAAATGGTTAATACGTACAGATCATGATGAAATTATTATAGTTTGTTGTTTTCTCGTAAACTCTATGTAAGCTAATAAAGTTTAGCCAATTCGAAATTGGAGATTTTTAGGGCATAAGTTGCTGTTATTGGAGAATAAATTGTTTCGATGGCAAAAGTGTAAAAAGTGTTTTTATAATAATCACAGTTATAATTCCAGGATGTTGTTACGTAATGCGAAAAACGTTTTTTAAACGTTTTTGGAGGATACAACAAGAAGTTGAGTTGAAATCATGAAATGAAATATTATGATTTTTCGAAAAATCAAAATTAGTATCTGAACATTGTTCTTTTCTTGTAACTAGTACAGTTGGAGCTTAACGTTTGAATCCTTTTTAATTTGAAGGTATCGTCTTATCCTCGTAAATTTATGGCCTTATAGAATAGTAGTAGAACGAAGTTGTTATGCTTACTGATTATTTTGAATAGGCAACATTTTTCCACCTCAAGTTCCACATACACTTTGTTTCTAATAGAAAATTAATTTATTCAGCAAGTGAGATTTGTAATCTACTTTGATTATTTCCTCCTAGAATTTTTCATAGTTTTTATAAACTTCACTTTTGAAGTCTCTATCAGACTACTTTATATAACAATACTTTTTCTCACATATTCGATTTTTTATTACCTGGTAACTTAGTCCCTTTTTAAGGTCAAGGAATATAACTATTGTCGGACTCCGAATTGTGCGTCTGTGTTCTAGAAACTGACGAAGAGTGAATATATGGTCTATACAGCTACGTCCAGTTCGAAAACCAGCCTGGATTTCTCGAGTCTTCTGTTCACGAGCTTTAGTTAAGCGTTAGTTAAGGCTAACATTTTGGACACTATATAAGTTAAACTGATCCCTCTGGGATTGTGGCAAGGACAATTTTGTCCTTTCTTATAGACTGGGACAATCAGTGCTTGAGACCAGTCGGATGGGATTGCGCCTATTTCCAAGATTCTAGCTAAGATCTCAATCACTCTCACTGCTAAAACCGGACCATCATCTTAAAAAATCTCAGTGGTAAATCTATCAGGCCTTGCTCTTGCTCCTCGCTTCAGATTTCCCATAACATTTTCAACTTCATTAGGGGTTGGAGGACTTACATCAACCGAAGTGTGTCTGAAGGCCAGTTGGACTGATCCCTAAATTGTTCTGTCCATCAATCTAATCTCCTGGATTGCGAATGAATAATAGTCCCATCTTGTTCGAGATAGTCTCACTAACAGTCAGATTCCTAATGCTGATTTCGTCGACAATTCTGAGAAGTTGTCTACTGTCACCTATTGCCGCTGTGATTTCCATCTCTTTCAGTCACTACCCATCACTGTTCACGATCATTACGTAGGCTTCTTATCAGCCTGTGCTAAGGCTGACTTCGCTTTTCGTCATGTTTAGAGCCAGGTGGGATGAGTTTCCGAGCACCTATCATTTCATTAGATGCGACTGAAATCCACTGCTCCCCAACCGTTTCGTTTACTTTACTAGCAGGTATCGCTACTGTTTTTACAGCTTCTGTAGAGCCTCTCAAACGGTGGCTGGTAGCACCTAACTTTTTTCTGCGTTGATTACCGATGATGCTTCCTAAAATATCCCTGTGTTTTGTTTTTAGTCTTATAGTGTAAATGCTCTGATTGTCATTGTGTTACTCATTTGAAAGATTTACCTTCTTTTCAACAGCATTGTAGGCATCGATATAAATCGTTTTCATAGATTTTTAAATATTTAAATGTTTTTTCTGTAATAATTGCATAATTTGGAACAAGTCTCGTCTTTATTTTTGGGAATTTTATGTTAAGTTATGCGGTCATTGGTTAATAAATAATCTCAGTACATTATCCATATTATCGGTAAATTGATTGAGTCACATTAATTATTTGAAATCTGTTTTATGAATGCTGAATGTAGCTATCCTAAAAAATAAAGTATACATTTTTTCACTTAAACTACTCAGAGTGTAGTGAACGAGAACACAGGTGGGGCAACCGGATTGTATTTAACGGAAATTACAGAGTTACTCAGTAAAATCGGAAAACCATATCGTAAATCGTTCATTCGCAAAATATCAGTTCATCATATCGAACTGGACTGTTCCTGTTGTAAAACATCAATCCATTGTCACTATTCATGCGTTTCATACAAATTCGATTGTTTTCTAACTCTTCCTTTCTTGATCTTCCCCCATATTCTGCTGCCAGACATCACGCTGACACTCACGTTATATACTACTTATAAGTAGCTCGCACCACAAGAGTATCTAACAAAATTAATGAATCATTTATTAGTTCACATGGTTAAGAAATGGATGTTTACACAAAATGACTATTGAACTCCAAATAACAGTTCATATTTGTTACAAATTGGAAATATTCCTGTTTCTCGCCATATAATAAGCGTTAAAAACGTCTCTGTTTCTTTTATCTCTTAGATTCACAATCTGTATATGATCCAACATTGGTGGAAAATCCTAATCTATGTAAATCTTTATGGGATCGTTTACAACTGTTTAATCCAGATAATAATACAGTAAGTGTGAATACTGATTTAGAAAATCTTAATTTATTGTTTATTATTATTATTTTCATTTATAAACTACACTCTCCCGTTTTTTTGTTTTAATGAATAACAATAACTGTATATAATAATAATAATAATAATAATAATAATAGTAGTAATAAAGTAATTATAGTTTTTGATGATATCCCCCCAATGAGCATAGGTTTGTATTTTTGACGTTTCATGACTATTAATGCAAGTTATTTCCTTCAAAGTAAATAAATAAATAACCGAGATAAGTCAACATTAGGCTAATTAATAAAAGGATAACAAAATATTTTTTTAGCACACCAAATTCTATTATGATTTTAATCAAACTAAAATTATTCTGCTTTTGTTATCCTTTTTATTAATTAGCCTAATGCTGAATTATCTCGGTTATTTATTTATCTATTTACTTTGAAGGAAATAACTTGCATGAAATGTTAGAACTACAAATTTCTGCTCATTAGGATATAATAATCAACAATTATGATTGTTAAATCTCCCTCCATCCAATGCTCAGTTGTTTTGAAACTATCAAATCTAACCTTGATATCGATTCCCAAATAACTGTATATATATACTTTTGTTAATTGAGATAATTTTTATTAGTTCTTCTGTTTTTGTAAAAATGAAAACATGTCAGAAATGACATAAATCAACAGATGTATAGTATTCATAAATGCCATCTGTGTTTAAGCGTTTGTTTGTTTTTGATTGGAAGATTTCTGAATTATCAGTGTAAATCAATTAACTTAAGTACATTTTACTTTCAAATTAATCATGTGTACAACTGATGCTCACATGAATCCAATGGTAAACGTACTACTAATTTTTGTTTATATACATAAATGAAGATTCCAGAATCTTTTCCACAGACAGTGAGTGATCAAAATGAATACTGTAGATAGTAGGTGTTAGTTAGTGTTATGACAGTTCATTGTTTAGTTTTATTTAGTATTCAAAGTTTTTTTTCTTTAAAGAAGTAAATGTTAGTATTCAGTCTGTGTATTTAATCTTGCTCGTATATCATGGGACACCCGAGTGAGCAACGCTGTTATTAGGAATCGGGTGCTAGGCAAGAATGGCAGGTCAATAGATGAAGTAATGAAACTTCATCAGTTGAGGTGGCTGGGACATGTGTTGCCTATGCCCAACCACCGACTGCCTCGTCGAGCTTTGTTTTGTAGTGTAGGAATAGGTTGGAAGAAGGCTAGGGGCGGCCAAACCAAAACATGGCAGAAATCCATGAAGTCATTGACGAGTGGACTTAGCCATGTCGGTAATTGTCGACTACCTGGTTGGGGTCCGCGAGATGATAATAATCGATGGTTAGAGACCTTGAATGACATGGCTGAAAATCGGTTGCAATGGCGCCGGTGCATTTACTCTTTGTGTTCTCTCAAATCCTAATCTTCTGAATTTTTCAACACCTCTGGTTTTGACTTTCTAAACTTTTCTCATTAAATCATACTTCTTGAATAATATCTTCTAATCCTAACCTCTCCGATTACTTCCAATACCTTTACTACCTCTTCTACTATTGGATTTGAATTGACAATTACATCTTCGTGCTGATGTAGTATGGCAACATGAACTGATGTACTTACGTACGAAGTTCTACGTTGCATCTGACTGACTGACTGACTGTGTATTTAATCATGCTTACTTTAAATAGAGGAGAATAAATTTTGTAATTTTCAGTCATGTTTCAGATATAAATATATTTACTTGTGAAGCTAATTTGGTTTTAATTACATATTCGAGTTATTATATTCAGTCTTTTCTTAAATTATTAATTTTTTAATTATTTATTTTATTTCTTGTTACTAGTTAATGTTAAATAATGACAAATCGATTATTAGTATGATTTTACCACCCCCAAATGTGACAGGTTCACTTCATGTTGGACATGCACTTACATGTGCTATTCAAGATGCAATTGCTCGTTGGTAAGTATCACACACTTATGATTATTCTTCTGATTTTAATTGTTAAATGTAGTAGATTGATAATTTAAAAAAAAAGAATAGCAACTTCATATGGAGTCTTTTGCTATGAGATTACTCTGTAGATAGATGGTTCTCGATGAAACTTATTGTTTCACTCCAAGTTTATGTTGAAGAACAATATTCTTGTTATTCGATTATGATCTTAACTCATCTAGTTCAACTTTAAATGTTTTTATGATTCCGTTTTTGATATTTTTTAGGAGAGAGTTTCCTAGACAACAACAATCACCCGAACATTTAGTCAGGCTACATGAAGACAGAAATTTATAGTCTTTAAACTAACCTTTGATGTGAATGATGCTGCTGATGCTGCAGTTAGAGAGTGACATTTGTTATCAATGCTTAGGCGTGCTGTTTGATATGATCAAATATCTGTCACGATAGCATAGATGTGTTTCTTTTTTACGGTCCTATAAATATTGAATATTTTGTTGTCCTACATCTTTCTTCTCATACGCCGCTCGTTCCATGTTTTTTTTTTTACAATATTTCCATGCTTTTTACTCTTGTGTAACGCACTGAACTAAACTTAAACGTTAATTAACTGCTTTTGTTAGCGCCTAAATTAGCTGCTTTTAAAATAATTAGATGTATATCACCATCTCTATGGTTATCTGTTCGGAGTCGATTTCACAGGATTGAACGCTTAAGATGAAATACAGTTTCATTATATTCCTCAGTCAATGCATTTGTCTGTTTGTAAGTATTAAATATGCAAAGTATATCGAGTACTGTCTATACATTTGTTTAAATCTGTTGAGTTTATAATTATTCAACCGAATACCAACAGTTTTGCTTAAAAAAGAATCGGCGAACACAGTTATGAATTATTGGTACTTAACTATGTTACTTTATTGAAATCTCCTGAAATGCTTACTTTTATGTTCAAACCTAACACAATCATCATTCAGTTAGTGAGTGTCATAATTAGTGTTTATGAAATCGCCTACTACATTAAAGTTTCTATCATTAGTGTCTAGTTATATGATATCATTTAATATATTATTAATTATTTTTTAAATTCAAGTTAACTTTTTATGTTAGTTATAGAATGCAAGGAAAAGCAGTTGTATGGGTTCCTGGTATGGATCATGCTGGGATTGCGACTCAGTCTGTAGTTGAAAGAGATTTACTTAAAAAATATTCATTAAATTCTAGTCAACTTCCTACTGACCAATCAAACTCTTCTGTATTAAATTCGCAATTTTCAAATCCAAGACTACTACTGGGACGTGAGAATTTTGTTCAACGTGTTTGGGATTGGAAGGATCAGTTAGTATATTCATTTTAACTTTATTTGTGCCTTAGTTTTTCTAATGTTGCGGTGACTGAAGCTAGCTGGCTGCAAATTTTGAGATTTTATTTTAGTTGTATTTGGTGTTCATCGACAAAACAGCAGCATTTTTGAAGTAGCCAATAATTCTTGTGGGATTCGAACTCGTATCACTCAAAATCATAGTCGGAAGAGTCATTACTGAACTATATGGGCTGTCGCTAATCTCTTGTAGGATTGAGATATTTAAATTAATCGATCACTGAGTAATTTACATCACAATTCAGTGTAATTGCTAACTAATACTGAACTTTTGGCTGCACTGTTTAGCTGATTTGAATTTATCTGCTGAATCGATGACTAAGCTACTCAACTCAAGACTACTTACCTACGTACGCCTGCTACTCCAAAGGACACAAATCACCACCAGCCGAGAATGTCCAAACACCTCTATCCTGGACTTGGACTGTGGTATCCATGGTTTTGATTTCTGTTGCCAATTCCTATCGCCATGCCTCTTCCTTTTATCTTGAAGATTCCAAGTTTGGGCTTGTCTTGTGATCCAGTTTGACCGATTTCATATAGTGCCCTATCCGTTCCCACCGTCATTTGTTACTCTCTTCAGCTGGTATCTGGTTCGTTCTCTGCTGGAGTAGATTATGAGTGATGATCTCCCGACAATGAATCTGGAGTTTCGTGCCTAGATAGTTGTTTCTAAATACCAGTATTGTTTTGATATAAGTTCCATACCTTAGTATCTTTTTAAAGTTAGTGTTTAGTATCCTGACTTCGCATTCAAGTGGCTTGCTCAGATGATAGCCATTGAAATTAACTTATTCAACCAAAGCAGATGTAAGCTCAATATTTTTTGATTTCTTTAAATAAATCCTCTCAACAGTCAACCACTCAGTCGCACTGTAGAACCAGGCACGTATGTACATCGGTGTAAGTTACCGTATCCATCAACGGAAGGAAGGATTTAGGAAAAGTTGACCCTAAAATCTTATTGCTTCACTTTACCCCACGGATTTCCGACTCTGGTGATAAGGCCTATTGACGTGCAGAGCTTACACTCAAAAAAGTGCCATACAATGGACGCGCGTAACCGCTTTGGGTTCTGCGGTCATGCTTCTAGGTGTCTAAGTACACAAATGAAGCTTATTTATACAATGGTAGTAGCGTCCTTGGGACAGCCATAGAATAGCGTACTAAAATAATCCATCAACCATTGACAGTCAAGGATTTTCCGAGTGGGAACTGTGAGGTGAGCGTTAACTAAGCACCTTATGCACGAAAACACAAAAAATCAAAATTTCAGCAATAAATTATTAAATTAGGACCTTTCCAAGTGAGTTCTAAGGATCTAGCGTCCCCAACACTAGGTTCTAAGCCTCAATTTCCTTACGATTACTGGTATACCTTGCTGATGAGTGGTAAATAGCATTCGATTCTCTTCTTAACATCGGACGTTATCAAGCTCGTCAGCTTCTAGCGTTCTTTATATCGTTTTGTTTGTTTATATATATATATATATATATATATATATATATATATATATATATATTCCATCATTTTTAGACATGCTAAATTGATACGTGAGCAATTGGATAGTCTTGGTTTATGCTTGGATTGGAGTAGAGAGTTTTTTACATTAAGTCCTGTAAGTCATCAATTGACAGTGAAACTTTTCTAAAGTTTTTTTTTATTCGAGTTGTGTTTTAGTTAGTCTATTTACGAAATTTGATTGTTTTTTAAAACAAAAGCAATGGAATGTGTTTTGCACAACTATACCTCCGTAGTAATCTTATATCATTTCAAAAAATTGCAATCAGTAAATAGTTAAATAAGTATCATTGTTTTCGTCTTGTATTTTCGACACAGTTGACTGTGTGTATTAAGAAAATTGTATTTATTGTAAAATTAGTTCATCAATCAGTTACAGCTTAAAAACGATCGATTAAATCATGTGAAACGCGGATTACACTATAGTTAACTGCCAGGTATTTTCTTTTACAGCGACAATAATTCATTGAAAACACCGAATAGTTAGTTGTTTCTTTACATCTGATGAAATCGTGAATAGCATCTTTAGCGTAATTCAATAAATATAAGTTGGAGTTGGGGATGGGGATTTTTGTTCAAACACTTAAATTTTATAGTCAAATAGATAGCTTACATTGAGAAGATATTTCTTGAGTTATTTAGTAATCATCTTCCTAAACACTCATTTGAACAAATTTGTTTTTCCATTCATTTGTAGTATTAAGATCGTCTTTCATCAAACTTTTATTCATGATAAATAAGAATATTTAATGTTATGACATATATTTATGTAAACAACATGTTCATTTTATTAACATTTGATTGTTACCTTATTAGTTACTAAAAATCCTATGTATTTCAGTTACAGTTTTTTTTTTAATGGTCACAACTGGATTGCATACTGTATATCGTTCATATGAGTTTGTAGTAGCTAAAACGACTAACCCAAAAATAATTCGTTTTATTATTATTAAGTTCAATGCTTCATATTCAGATATACTGAAGTACAGATTAGTTAAGGCTTTTCATTATCATTTAGGGATTATCTACATATATAGGCAAATTAGTGTTGATTTAGTGTTCATAGTTTTCGATACATTCAACTACTTCATGGATTGATTGAAGTAGGACATTAACACTGTTTAATGCTGGGCTTAGAATTCTAGAGTTTAAGCGTTCATGTACGAGACGTGTGTGATTGTTAATTTTTCACGCTAATAAACTACCAATCCATCAGGACACCTACTTTGTGCATGAATCATCATTGTTAACTGTTTTTATTTAAAGACTGTAGATAACAAATTCGAATTCACTTTCATCTTGTTCATTTATCCCAGGTGGACAATTGAATCTTAAAATTTTTTCTCAAAATCTGCTAGTATTTTCGTCGTTATCATTTTTGTATTTATAATTTTCATAATTCATTTTAATTTTTGGACTTATTTCTAGAATCATTGTGAATGTGTCACTGAAGCTTTCTTAAGATTGTACAATGCAGGATTGATTTATCGCGCTGAAAGTTTTGTATCTTGGTGTTGTTATCTACAAACAGCCATCTCTGATATAGAAGTAAGTTGAACGATTTAACAAAATTTTCAAATTATCACATCATCATTGTTTTTTTTTGTCTTAACTTTACCAAATTATTACGGAAAGTACCTATTTATTTCTGTTAAGATAAATTGAAAAAACAACAGTATTTATATTTGTTTTAATTGTTAACTCATACATAACCTTATTAGTTGATATAATTAGAATAAAAGTTAACCGAATAGAATACAACAGTTAATTTTAATACTAAACAGTTTTGACGAAAATAAAATATGAGATAGATTAATGGATTTGAGTTCAACAGAAACTTGATAAGACGAATTAACATTACGAAATATGTATAATACTACTGAGTAGTCAAATCGTTCTGCTTTTTTAATCGCTAAGTTGCATATTTGAACGTTGCTCCACCTACATTGGTATGGTAGTAAGTTAATTCTAAAATATTTCGAACCATTTCAGATAGAATATTCATCACTTGAAATAACCAAAAAACTAATGTATTTTTTAAACTTTAGATAAAATATATCGTTACCTTTGATAAATAAATACCTCTTAATCACTTAATCTCTTATCTATGCCTTGAATTTATGTTAATTGTTGTGTCCTTATTATGTGTTATATTTACTTTCTCATGATCTTTTTTTGTTTTCGTTCTTTTTGTAACAGATTAATTCTATTCAGTATTCTTAACTAACTTTTTCATTTAATAAAAAAAAATAGGTTGAACTTCGTAATGTCTCAGGGTCAACATTTCTCAATGTTCCAGGTTATGATAAACCAATTGAATTTGGTGTAATGGATTATTTTGCTTATCCTGTGATAGATGCACCAAAATCATCATCATCATTGTCAGAACACCATCACTTTGATTCAAGGTAATTCTAGTAAATACGTTGTTTGAATAGATTTTTACCATTTTTCTTATACATCAACTCTAAACAATCTTATGTGTTATGTTGCAAGTTACTTCTATTCGATGAGGACTTGTGATATATATGTAGAAGACTGGTTTATTTTTTTAAAGACTTTCTATCTGTTAGATAGTGTAATAAGTAATTGAAGTATATCTTAAATCTTATCACTAGTCATATCCTTCTGGATAAAGAGAATAACGTAAGTCTTTAACTGGGGATTTGAGTCGCAACTGTCTCGCAAATAATATATGTGTCCTACTATGACTTCTTTGTTTTTAGTAATTGTTTATTGCTGATAGCTATTGTATAACTGATGTGACTCTCATTTTTTATATATTAAGTTGTATTCGACTATTGAGTACTCAGTGTTTGTGTGTGTGTAACTCATAATTATGCAGCACTGAAGAGACTGATGTCTTTCATCTTATTACAACCTGTGCTACTCAGCAAAAGAGTTGGAGACATTGCCATTGGAGTTTTTGAAGCCTAATCAATTTCCCATATAACTTAAAGGCTCGCACCGATTGCTTACTTAGTAGCGATCAATTTTATGTTATCTAGCTCACATTCCCGGCCGGATTTTAACATGCTCATCCGTTTTCTAATTCAATTATTATTAACATTTTTAGAATGAATGAAATAGTTGTAGCGACTACACGTTTAGAAACAATGCTTGCTGATGTAGCCTTAGTTGTTCATCCAGATGATAAACGTTATCAGCATTTAATTGGCTGTTATGTAGAGCATCCATTCTGTCCAGATAAACGTCGTCTTCCAATCATTGCTGATTCACAACTTGTTCAACCTGAAATGGGAACAGGTAAGATATACGGTATAATTTAGTTTTACTTACAATATTCATTTAACAAACATAAAGTATAATAATACATTCTAAAAAGAATTAGAAGAAGCATATCGCTATAGTATAACTTGGCCGAGTAAGCAATACTGTCATTAGGAAACGAGTACTAGGTAGGGATGACAAATCAATAGATGAAGTATTGAAAATTCATCATTTGAGGTGTTTGGGACATGTGCTACGTATGCCTAACCACCAACTGCCTCGACGAGCGATGTTTTATTGTGTAGGAGTAGGTTAGAAGAAAGCTGGTGGCGGCCAAAGCAAAATCCGTGAAATCACTGACAAGTGGACTGTCATGTTGTTAGATGTAGACTATTTGGTTGGGGTCCGCGAGACGAATGTCACCAATGGTTAGAGACCTTGAACGACATGGCTCATCAATCGACCGCAACGTAGAACTTCGTACGTACGTACATACGTCAGCTCTTGTTGCCATACCACATTAGCACAGAGTTGTAATTATCATTTCAAATCCTATAGTAGTAGAGGTAGTAAAGGTACGAGCAGTAATCGGAGAGATTAGGGTTAGAAGATATTATTCAAGAAGTAGAATCTAGTGAAATAAACTTAAAAAGAGGAAGATAATACCAAAGAAAATTTCATATTTTTAAAGGAAAAATTAAAATCTACTATTCTCTCTTTCTCTCTCTATAATGATTAACATGACCTCAAGACAGAAAAATTAACAATTACCAAGTAAATAACAAAGGTCATAAAGAAATACAAATTCAAGAAATTATACTCGTGATTATCGTTGAAAAACAAAGAGCTAAAACTTATTCACAAATTTAAATAGTCTGGAATCTTCTTAGCACAGTGTTTCAGAATATTCCTTTAAATATTATCACATTTAATTACAACATGTTATTTAGCCTTTGTTACATCATACCAATATGTGTTTGAAATGAATTGTAACTGGTTACGTTTCCACAAGTATGTCATTGAAAAAAAATACAAGTTGTCAGTAGTAGCTGATGAATGAATTCACGTTTACCTCACTCAGATCGTTCTTATTTTATTTCCTCCTTTTAACGTTAACAAAGCGAACTATAAATTCGAAGCATATTCATATAAAATGCGTGAAAAATAAGTGAATCTAGGAGAATGTGGAGTATTTCATGTGGAAAATTATATTGCCTACAAAAAAAAGTACAAATCGACTAAGTTATAAAATATTTCTGTATGTACTTGAATTCAAATGTAGTGCATTAAAGAACTGCATACGAATTATGTAGATCTCTCCTGATAGTACCAATATTGTAGTCAGATTAACCTAACAATCATTAAATTATCTGAACTCTAAACATTGCGAATCTGTTGGCATTCATTACTTAGACTTCTCTTGTCAAGGCTGTCACGTGCTTTTCTATTTTCAATAGCACCCTATATGAAGCTAACCTATGATGAACAGCATCTAAAAATTAAAATGATCTCAATGAAATCCTTTTGATTAATCTGTGGAAATTTTGTTTAACATAACTGAAGAATTGAACAGTACAAAAGTATATTTTTACCAATGAGTGTCAAATCATGTGGTAGTGAAGTGATTGATTTTCATTGATGTTCATTATAAAATTCTTAATTTTATTTAAACAAAAATAATTTTTAATTAATATTATTAGGTGTTGTAAAACTCAGTCCAGGTCATAGTCAAGTTGATTGGGAAGTAGCTAGAAGACATCAACTCCCTGTTAAACAAGTGTTCGATAATTCTGGTTGTATAACAAGTACAGGAAGTGAATTCGATGCAAGTTGTGTTTTTTTGTAAAACAAAAAAAATTTCAAACTTCAATTAATCATATTTTTATTTTTACTATCTCGTATATTTTATCTAATGTATATAATTTGTCAAATCTTTAAAAAAAAACATAAATAATTGTCCAAGTGAAATTGTAATGTAGTAGCAGAGATGGAAAGTTATAGATTTTGTCGTTTTTTATATGAAAAAAGAGTATAATTACTATTGCTCTAAATCCTGAATAGTAATTATATGAACTAGCTATACGTTTTGATCTGGTGGTTTTCTTATCTTGAGCGAAAAAAGAAGATAAAAAGTCATGAATGGAAATTTTTATCAATTGTACACTATTTATCGAGAGTCGATCATGTCAGTCAGTTTACTTGAATTTACTTAGTTGTCAAATGTTAACAAAAAACAAAAGTTGTATAGTATAGTCCTGAATACCAATTTTCTTGATATTATAGCCACTGGCTAATAATTGGAATTGAGAACAGACTGTTTTTCCAGTTTGAAGAGCTACCATTGTCCAATACCGCACTGGAATTCAAAACTGTAATTAATTTTATCAGTAACTCACCTTGAAGATATGATTTGATTTCAAATAGTCTGGACTATCTTGTTGTTGATATTTTGACTGAAATTTCATCAGTTTTTGTTGGCAATTTTGGCATCGTATGCGGATCGCCTCGATATTAGCCGCATTTTATCCATTCTATATAGAGTTGTGTCAATATGTAGATCACAAGTCGATTATTGTTAGACCATTATTCGAAACCTGAAAGCACTAGGCGGCCGTTTTGTCTTATAATAGGGCTCTTCAAAATTGCGCTTCCACGACCCCTGTGGGCGGGGTATTGAACCCAGAGCCTACAGTCTATTGCGCGAATACTAAACCTCTAGATCACTAAGCCGGCATCCAACAATGTTAATGTCTAACTTTTATCAATCCAAGGTATTGCGCAACCTCACCTATTGTCTTCGCTAGGTAACTGCCTACGCCTAACAGGGCTGAACTCCACTGTTCACGGCTTCTCACTAGAACACCGAGAATTCCCACACAAAGCAAGTCATTAGTAAGAATATTTTCTTTTGATTAAAATTCGATATAAACACCACTGGATCCTGGCTTAAGGGTTAAGAGGTTAAGCGTTCGCGTACGAGATCGAACACCCTGGGTTTGATCCCCCGCTGGCGAGGGTCGTGAATGCTCTGTGCTGATGAGTCCAGATTTCTAACGGTTGTCTAACAATGAGCGATCTATGATTTCATTGAAATTCTACAATCTTCACAACTCACTTGAAATTTCTTCAACCAATTCTATCTGTACTACTGTTTTATGAATAAAAAGCTTATCACTAACTAATGTTACCAAGAATCTAAACTAAGTTGAGTATTCTAAAATAATGAATATGAATGTATGGTATAAGTTCATCAACTAACTAATCTAATGCCTAATTAAAGGCAATATTGTTACCAGTGAGTTATTAAGTTGTGCAATATTAATATTCAAGATTGAGATATTTACAATGGATAATGTAGAGTAATCACTTGAACTAATGACTACATTGCAATGTGATCAACACTTAATGATTAAACAAAATATGATATTGATCCCTACTCAGTTATACGTCATCAATTTATAACTTCTAATATCGTTTTGTTTACCACCTATTTGACTAACTTAAATATTGATGCATAGTATTTTATTTTATTTCAGGGATTGCCTAGATTTATAGCACGTCAACGTTTAATTGAGCGACTCAGTAATCTTGGTTTATATAAATGTAGAAAAAATGTTGAAGTTAATGGAGGTTCCACTGTGTTACCAATTTGTTCTCGTTCCGGTGATCTTATTGAACCGATGATTCGAAAACAATGGTTTATACGAATAAAAGATTTAGCTGATGCTGCATTGGAAGTGAGTTTTTTTTTAAAAAAAAATCAAATAAGATATTTTTTTTACTCTCAAGACAATATTTGATCTTTCAACATCATGGTATAATTATTTTATTGAATTAACCGCAGTATGTCTTTGATTTGATTTGATTATGTATCTCTGAAGTTAACAGAGAAGATGATTTACATTAGAATGTAATTCAGGTAATGCTTTAAAAGCTTCATAAATGATTGATATGAGAGTTGTAAATGAACTCTGTAACACTGGATGGTGATTGTGATCTGTTATTAATTTATAAATTAACTTGTAAGTGGTAATTTCAGATTTTTTGAATCGAACCTCTATAGTACAATACCAACTTTTGACTAAGTTGAAAAATTTTGCATTTTACATAAAAACTATAAGTCCGACACACGACCCGAACTCACATAGAAATCTATTTAAAAAAGTCCATTGGTCGATAGACCAAGACTTAGCGTCGCGTCATGAGGTTACTGACTGTCAATCTGTATCATGTAAGGAATTATTTCAAAGTATTCAAAAACAGTGAGATAGTTATAGTTGGTTTAGGACTATAGATGACCTGATCAAAAGTGGTTACATTGATTATGATAGCTTCAACCTAAGGTTTCTTCAAAGAATCTAACCCAATATCATTCTATTTTTATGATTTTCGTTATTCAATCACTACTACTTACGTCGAAATCCTTGTATGTAGTTTCTGACAGCTGTAATTTCATTTCAGATACTAGTAGCAACATTTCTATGGATATCTGATGTTATTTGTTTTCATATCTTTACTGAGTGGGAGTGTCATAGAACACATCAAAACTTTTATTGTAATGCATGATACGATGAGAGGAGTACATTTATATTGTGGTGCGCGCTACTTATAAGTAGTATATGACGCGAGTAAAAACGTAATGTCTGGCAGCAAAAGATGGGGGAAGATCAAGAAAGGAAGAGCGGGAACACAATGGGATTTGTATGAAACGCATGAACAGTGAAACGTCAGACAATGGATTGATGTTTGCAACAGGAACAGTCCAGTTCGATATGATGAACTGATATTTTGCAAATTAACGGTTTACGATGTTGTTTTCTTATTTTACCAATTAACTCTGTAGTTTGAGATAAATACAATTCGGTTGCCCTCACCTGTGTTCTCCTTCACTACAATATTACTAGTCATCATTTTGTACTTAATTAGTATACTCTGGCCGGTTTTTACTTTCATGATATATTTTTATTGGATCATATAATGATGATATTTTAGAAATTTTGAAAGTTGACATAACTATTATGTTAATATTTGTTAAAAATAATTTCTTCTATCTATGATCTAATTTTATTCTACTTGTAGGCTGTTCATTCTAATCAACTGGAATTGTTTCCAGCTAATCAAAAATTAATTTGGTCAGAATGGTTAGATCCAAAAAATCATAAAGATTGGTGTATTAGTCGTCAACTTTGGTGGGGTCATCCTATTCCAGCTTATAAAGTGAGTATATTGACGTGGGAAATGTTTCTAGTTCATGTTTTTTTGTCGAATTGGTTCTTCCTGTTGGCTTCTGTTTCAGAGATTGACGAAAAATGTTTAGCATTCACGTTCGCCATTGATTTTCGACTTTTTCTCAGAACTTGTACATCTATTATGTTTCCACTTACTAACATAATCATACTTTAACAAAGTATGGTGATCGATAACAACTTATAAATTTCATAGTTTTTAAAATTTTTATGACAAGTTTTTTTTTCATATATTCATCTACAATATCCATAGACTGGTATCTCTGTCTATAGTCGGATGAAATTAATTTAGCTGAAATATAACCTACTATTCCTCCAGTTAACGAAAGAACAATACGTCATAATATTGATTATGTAAATATACTTGTTAAATATCATCAGATATCTTTTCTTGACTTATACCTAACATTGTTCCTACCTCTACTACTCTGGGATTGAGTTGGACAAACTCAGCTCTCTATATTAATAGGGCATAACAACTTGAACTAATGTAAGTATGCACCAAGTTCTACATTGCAATTGACTAATTGATGATATTAGTATCATAGGGAAATCATTATAATTATATATTTTGTTAAATATAGTTAAAATGTTACATTTTATTGACCAAAGGATAGTAAAGTGTTATTTATCAGTAAAAAGTCGAAATGACAACGATTATTTTTTTTTCAAAAGTTGATAATTAAATTTTAAATAACAAGAAAGTTGTAAACAATTGTCTTGAGCTGATTTAATATCTTCAATATCAATGATACTGTTCTCTCTACACAATATTTCAGAATAAATGTTAACTTGTCGAAATACACCACTGTTGACTAACAGAAATATTATCTTAGTCATTCACAAGAGTAAATTGATTAATCGATTTGTATTTGCTGCTTTTTCAATCATCCTATTGATGTTTAGGACTGCAGTCGACCTACCTCGTTTGGCATAACTGCATCCTGTGCTGATTGTCTCAATATGACCATTAGGTCACAAGCATCATAAGCAGAGATGCTTAATGGCTAGCAGTGGGATCCAGAACGCGCATTTTGTGCTGCTTGGGATGTTCTTGTATTTTAAAAATGACCAGTATGAATGAATTAAGCTTCACATCGTTCCAGTTACCATCTGAAATGAGTAGTCAAGTGGGTAACGTGATGGCGTTTGAAGCAGACCGTACTGGGTTTAAATCTCGGAGTGATCATCAACTTTGAGATACAGGTATACCCGGCTGACGAGTCCCGAAATGGTATGAAACGCGCGTGCTGCATTCCACTGCTAGCCACTATCCATTTCTACTTACCACCTATGGAATTATTTACCACAACATAACACAAATAAGCAAATTTATTCTCATCTGAACCAACTACACGCAATATTGCCATGTAACTATAAGATGCTCTACTTATTCTGTACTTATCTCAGAATTAATTATGACCTTTTAATTATACACGTTTTCACATGTATGTGAATGCCTTTTTATCTTATTACTGACTATTTGGGCAGCTCATACACTGAATAGATGTTCAACTCAATCCAAATAACATGCTTTATTTATATCGCAATTAGTCACTGGACTAGGTGTCTTCGAAACATCACTCGTGTATTACGAATCCACCGAGTGAGTATTGTTGATGTTAAGCGCAAAGTGCTAAGTGAATAATAGCAAATTGGTTGATGAGGTGATGAAACTTCATTGACAGTTGTCAGGACATGCATCACCTATGCCCAACTAATGAATGTTTGCTAGTATACAAACAGATTAGAAGAATGTTAGGAGTAATCAAACCAAGACATAGTATTAGTGAATGAGGTCTTTGACAATTGGACTGACTCATATTAATGGGTTTAAACTACCTTATTGAGGTTGGCGTGATTATCGTAACCAATGGTTAGAGACTCTCAGTGACATGTTTAAGAATCATTTGCAGTAGTACAACTAGATTATTCCTTGTCGTCCTCTAAAAATTTCCTTGTACCTTTCCTTCTTTGTCTATACGTAGTCTTTGCTGCAATTGCTACTGTCCCTACTTCTACTGTCCTAAGATTTGAATTGAAATAATTTTCTCTAGTTTTGATAATGGTGTATGGCAAATAGGAAAGATATGTCAGTTTCTATTTTGGGTTTGACTAAGGTACTGAACGTTACCAGCCAAATTATTGAAGCCTATATTTGTATACCTGTGGTTAATGTTTCATATTCCATTTTTTGATATCATGTTGTCAGTTGACTCTAATTACATAAGAATAGTCTAAAAATCATACTAAATTTGTTGGGATGCACAATTATTAGTGCCAGAATGGTTGAGAAATAACGCTTCATATATCAAATCTTTAGATGCCAACTTCCTATTCTCTATGTACAACATAACTGTGCAATTTGTGTTATATAAAACTGAAGATAGGGTTCACTATCTGTTTATGGATTTTATTCTAGTGACATCTTGGAAAATTAAGTTCGTAACAGTCTCAAGTTGTTGTTGTCGATGAAAGTATAGAACAGTCAAACAGCACTATAGATTTCTTGAAATACAATAAATATAGAACAAAACATTTTCAGACAATGTCATATGTTCTCCGTAAGATATGCATCCAATTTCGTCAAAAATTCAACTATGAAAATTTCCAATGACAATGAAGTGGTTTTTTTTCTCTAAAATGCCTTATCCATAAGTCCTTTCTAAAAGGATTTCGTTTTGCAATGAACAGCTGCGTTTCTTATGAAGAGTCAAAACGGTAACTCATTGTTTCAGAGACATATACATTTCTGATTTCCGTATCAATTTATAAGTATCGTGTTTGCGGTAATCGACAATTGTGTTATCCTATGAAGAAAAAATATAACGAGCACAAAGAACACTAAAGAAGTTTTAGAAGCTTGACACTAAGGTCAACCGACCCATTTTATCAACCAATCAGAAAAATCATAGGCGATATAGGATCTGGAAACAGATCAAAGGGGGATGCAATCAAAATAAAGTTGCAGACAACAATTTAAGTTTAATAACAACCAATCGGGATCGAGGTTACCAGAACAAGCTACAGGTCAAACGTGGAGAAATTCGAATACTTCACTTCTATCTGAAGTTTGTGCTGATGATGTTGTTTAGAAGAACAATGAAAACTCCACAACCAAAACAGCTAGCTTAAGGAACGAGACTCCGCCACAATCATCCACCTGAGCTACAAATTTTTCTCCACCATCTCAAGCAAGGAAACATTTTTAATATTCTCAAATTTAACCTTATAATATTTTCCTTATGTACACCTATCGATCCAGGTTAATTAGAATTTGTTTTGAATCTTAAGCATCCTAGTATCAGCTTTCATCATCATCCCAATGTATATAAATTCATTCTAATTAATCAGGTGAAATTACGTAGGTAATTTTTAATTCTCTTGGGGAACCACGGGAATATGTTTATATATATATATATATATATATATATATATATATATATACTTCACTTCATTCCAGTTTAATCGTTAATTAACTTCTTTGTTCATAAGTTGAAATTATAAGAACATAATTTAAAAACATTGGTTTTTCTTTGTCAGTCTATTAGTGACTAATTTTATAACTTTCAACTGATTAGATCTATTCATCATTCGTATGCATAATTCTTAATTTAGTCAATCAGTCTGTTCATGTCATCATAACATTTGAAGCATATCACAATAAATTCTACTGTAATTGTAATGTTGCTTCAATGTGAAGCTTCGTTTAGACTTTAAAGTGTTTCTTACTTGTGGTTTTTATACTTATTAAGCCTTCGTAGCATCATATTATCGATGTTGCTTCCATTCATTTGAGGCAGCGTAAAAACTTATTACAAGTCTTAGGCAAACTTTAATTAACCAGTGTTTTATACTTACATGGCTGCTGCTCACTGTTAATGTTATTTCTTTGTTTTCATATTTTTTTTCAATATTTTAACGTTTAGATGATTTCATCTAACTCAGAGTCAACTGATGACAATGAAGATCGGTGGATTGTCGCTCATTCTTTAAATGAAGCTGTAAACATTTTAACTAACTCTGGACTTCACTCCAACGATTATCAGCTTATACCAGGTGACTTATTCATTGAGAATTTCATTTTTTTTAAAAAGAATGTTCAACATTAATTTATTTTATATTCTGTTGAACAGAACTAGTATAGCATATGATATTTGTTGCCTCAGCTTGTTTTCTCTGTATTGAGAAGTTTGATTAAAATTCATTTCATGAGCAATATGAGTGTCGAGGGTGTGAATCGAAATTCAATGTGTTTCCGAATCATTTATCTTCTTGTGTGACATTGGTTATATGTATTCTTTTTAAGAACTGTTTTGTTACGAATAATCGAAAATACACTTGGAACTTCTTAATTATATTATTGGCGATATGAATTTCCGCTTTATGCTGTCTATACAATCCTAGTGGTTAATATGGTATTTTTAAGATGGCTAATTGATTGGTAACGTTCCGTCGAAACCAATCTATATGCTGGAACTTTGTGATTAGAAGGTACATACTTCCAGTTAATAATTATGATTCACTTTGAAATGTCTGTATTTCATAAGTAGTTCAAGTGGAAATCATAAAATTTAGGTTGAAGATACTTTGTTTATCGGCTTCCTTTCAACTTTAAATCAAATGACTAAAACTTAAATTATATGCTCATTTTATACAGGCATCACATAAACCCTGTTGGATGCCGGCTCAGTGGTCTAGAGGTCAAGTGTTTGCTCACGTGACCGTAGGATCTGGGCCTCATTTCCTGCGTTCAAGGTCTTTGGTGAGCACTTCAAAGGAGTCTCATACTATGACGAAATAGCCGTCCAGTGCTTCCAGGTTTTTTATTGGGGGCAGGACTTGGATAATTTCATGATTTCATTGAACCTCCATAACTCTATATCAATAATTAATCTTGTTTGTTCGTTACAGATCCTGATGTCTTAGATACTTGGTTCAGTTCTTCACTGTTACCATTTTCAATATTCGGTTGGCCAAATCATGTAAGTTGTTATATAGCGTTGGTTACGGATTACATAATAATTTATCTAAGACTCAGTAAAAACTATTTCTAACTAATTACAGCTCTCTGTAACTTAGGTTTATAATGGATGTGTAGCAACTTCTATGTTTTACTACATAACTCAGTGATTGATTCTCACTTCTGGACAGAATTTAATGACTCAGACTGCATGTGACCATTGAGTTATTCCTATCTTTTTAATAAACTTATTCATTCCTTAAGAAATTATGACTTCAGTCAATATACTGCTTATATTTGTGCCCGTATAGTTCTACACCTATAAGTCTCACGTGTGTTTGTAGGTGTATCTGTACATTTATTGTTTTCACCCATTGTTTGTCTCCTCATCACACTATTCATTATCTATTTTGAGTCGGACTATCGTTTGTAATGAATACCACCTATTCCAAATGGTGTTGGCAGACAAACCAACGGAATCACTTCAATCAATCTCATGTAGACCAAAGGACAAAATGACAAAGGAAGAAAAACCAAATATCATCTACAAAATAAATTGCTCAGACTGAAAAACACTACATAGGACAAAGTGGACAGCGTCTTCAGCTTTGTTTACGTGAACACCAATTAGCAGTCAAACGCCACGCCAATTCTTCGCTTATATCAATACATACGGCCAACTATAGACATACATTCGATTGGAGCAATATGGAAATACTGGATAGGGGTAGCACAAAGAACACTAGAGAATCAATCAGCAATCAACAAACGCATCGACATTAACCCAATTTATCAACCAATCGGAAAAATCATAGGCGACAGAAGATCAAGAAACAGATCAAAGGGGGATACAATCAAAATGAAGGTGCCAACAACGACAGGTTAAAGTGAACAGCAACTAAACAAGATCGAGGTTAATTTCACTTCTATCTGAAGTCTCTGCTGATGATGTTGTTCAGAAGAACAATCAAAGCTGCAAAACCGAAACATCCAGCTCAAACAACGAAACACCACCGCAATCATCCATCTGAGCCACAAATTTTCTCCACCATCTCTATATTTTTTACTTTACAAGTAGAAAACCTAGTTAAATATACATCTTACTTATAATTATTCATAGATCTTGGGTTAAAAAGTGTATTGTATCGATCACATAGATATCAAATTGTTTACCGTGATTAATTAGCCCATTGTGTTTTTTATCGATAAAATTCAATTTTCACGCGTATCCGTTCAGTAGTGTTCTAAAGCAAACTTTAATCATTGTTGTTATTGTCTGTTGAATCATCACTACTGAGTTATTCAATCGTGCACATTTTAATTCTCGATTACAATTCGTTATTGTTATGATGCTATCCTAACGCATTATGTCATATTCTAATTTCCAGACTAAAGAAGCACGCTTTTATCCTTTACGTTTATTAGAAAGTGGACAAGATATACTTTTCTTTTGGATTGCTCGTATGGTTATGCTGGGTATATTTTTAACAGGACAAATACCATTTAAAACTGTATGTGCATCAAATATAATGCGCTTAATTTGTTGGTTGTCATTTATTCTTGTGTATTGATTAGAATAGCCGAGTGTTTGTATTATAAAACATGTTTTGTTTATGTTATTTTTTTTCTATGTATATTACCATCATTCATTGTTATCTTGTTCACCTACGAGAGTTTAATAACTCAATATGAATTTAAATAAGCTAGCGGTGAAAAACAATGCTAATTCATATTAACTATTGAATATTGTTGAAGTGAAGTGACTTGCTCGAAACGAAAAAAGTGTTTGTTTAAATAAATAACATTTATTTATTCCCTTTTATATTTGATATGTAGAACATTGTTAGAGTAGGTAAATTGATAAGTAAGGCTAGTGTTTTTTATTATCAGTTCAAACTAATCATAATGATGGTGATCTGTCATCAGATGAACAGTATTTTTTTACACTGATCGATCACTGAGTGGTGCCGATCAATGTTATGTTTGTCTAATGCCAAGTGTTGCCACTTATCGTCAAGCGGCACAACATAGTCAATACTATGTAAATATATCGTTCCTACAGGAAGTGTTTGATCGCGGCTTCAGAGCTGGATTCTGTAGGTCTGAACCCTACTAGGACCAATATTATTTTTAAAACTCCAGTTATGCCTTGTTGTTGAGTGCTAATTGGCGCAAAATCTATGCTCAGGGTTTGTTGCAAACTCCCTCCAAAATATCAAAATGATGTTTTTTAATATTGTACTTTTGCTTATGTCAGACAAAACTGAGATATTAATTATCGTCAAATTCATACTGATACGGTAGTTTCAATTTGCCAGCTTCGTTTTGGCTATCAGGGAAGTGTCCCAGCCCATACACAAATTTAGTGTGACGCCTATATAATTCGGTGCCCCCTTGTATCGACCAATATCTGTTGTAAGTATGAAGTTTTGATAAGCGATTCAATTTGCGAGTTTTATTGTTGCCTATGTTCTTTACAAATGGTTGAATTCAGTAAATTACTGATGAGACTTATGCTCAGATCCCATTAAAATAGACTTTAAAAGACTCTTTTGAAAACTCTTCGACATCAATTTATATGTGAAATATTCAACTAAGATAATACAACTCATTGAATAGCCTATAAGTAATCATCAACATAAAATTTTAGTCATCAAACAATCTAGAGCTAAAGATGATCATACGCAACATTTTGAACATGAAAAAAACGATTTCGGCTCAAATGACTGTGATCGGTTGAGTTTTTTTTTCTTAAATCCTTTACTTATTATATCAATTTTCAAATGTTACCTTCACTGTCAAAATCACCAAACTATATTGTAGCTGAATAGTACGGCTAATTTCATTGACATTTGGAAAAAAGAAAGATTCACAACTTTTGCTCATCTTCAACTCGCTCCTCTAACACGCACTTTTTTTTTTTTGAAATGTACTTAACTATATAAATACAATTATCAACCTTTATTTGCTAAACACATTTCCTTTCAAACAAAAGGTTATTTTGCATGGTTTGGTATGTGATTCAGCTGGTCAGAAAATGTCTAAAAGTAAAAATAATGTAGTGAATCCATTGAACATTATTCATGGAATCGGAAATCTACCAAAGGTAAATTATTTCTCTATTTTTTGATTATTTATTTTATAAAATTATCAAAACTTTTTTTTTCTTAAATGGGGAATATATGTGACATTGTGAACTCATACCATACACAAACATGAATTGTTTCCTTTTCATAGTCTCTGCTTTTTTTAATCCCTCTTGTAAAACACTTTGAGTTGAGACATAGCAATCATAGTTGATGATTGATTGTAAAACCAATCTAAGTAGGAAATAATGCAAGCTAAAATACACAGTCAGGATTTCAGCATAACAATATAGAGAGCAGTTAATAGGGACTATCTGCCGTGAACTTTTTTTTAAGAAAACCGTTTAATCATAAGAAGGTACAACTCAAAGCGCAAGAACTAAAATTCTGTGACCTGGGTAGGAATCAGACTGACTTATGTATTATCTAAAATAGTGTACTCCATAACTCTTTAACACCTTAACGGAGCTCGCAGTTGTAAATATACTGATCAAATCTTTTCCTTTTAACAGATTTCAGAGTACCGACGTATAATAACTTAAATGATTAGGTTTTGTGTTATTGTTTATCACTGAGATATGCAACAGCAGTGTACATTGACTGCCTGAGAACTGTGATGTGTTCAATTCTCAAGAATTGGAGGATGACATCGTTTTGCTTGATGAATACTTTGAAAAAGCGTAATCTTGTGAATGTCTTAAGTAGTGTGACACAAATATTTCGAATTTGTTTCTATCCTTCTAACTGTAACGTGTCACTTCAACATTGGTTTGAGCAGTAAGTGAATTGATCATTGCTCTTGAATTAGTTGGACTTATGTAAACCAAATTTCGGAAGGTATATTATCGTTAACTACTTACCTGACAATAGAATGACATTACTTCGATATGCCTAGCTCTACTTTTAGAGATATCATATAAGAAACGTTTACAATCTGACCTTATACTCAAGACATAGAGTAGTAATGTCGATATACAGAAAACACCTGAATAACATTACGAAATTCTTGCTGAACAACCTATAGACTCTTGACGATAAAAGTAATATAATAGTAATAAATTTATTTATATTCTTATGTTTTTGTCTTTCCAACTATTGTTTCTTTTATCATAGTTTCATTGTTTTTCCAATATTTGTTTCTACTTAATTTCTTTCTCTTTTTCTCAAAAACTAATTTTCATATTTCTTAAAGTTGTTAACATTTATCCACTCTACATTGTTTACCACCTACCTCTATTGATACGATAAGTTCAAAAATCTTTTGTTTTGCTCAAATGTGCTTCTTAAAAACAATTTTATTGTTTGTTAAAAATCCATTGACTATATCTTCGAAATGACTGCCTAGATTATATCCTCCCTGTAAGTGTGTGTGTGTGTGTGCGAAGATAGGATCGTCGGTTTTGTTATGAGAACATTATTATTTCGGTTATGAACTGCACACATATAAGTAGTATATGTGCATGTATTTATGTATCACTGATTAAAATTGAATTTTATTTTATTTAGAATTCGTAAAAATACTTCATGTCGATTTAACAATAATAAACACACAATGGAATATAAATAAATTTTAATTCAGCTTGTTTTGTTAATAAACAGCTTATTTTATTGCTTTAAATATTTTTAATTAAATGATAATACAATGTTTTCAGCTACTTTTTGCCAGCTTATATTGTATTTCACCATATATATATATATATATATATATATATATATATATAAAGTGTGGATGGAAATCTTTTTCTATGTAGTCAAGTTCTATCTCAAAATATTTACACTTACTCTTCTTCGTTTCACTAAGCGGAAATACGAAATTGATCATAGTCTACGTGAATCGATAGTTACTTCACTACTATGTTGCCTTGATTGCATTGTTTACTAAACAGAATTGTCATACGCTACATTTAACAAGTTACATTATCGCCAATTATCTTGAATATGGGATTTGACAGTAATGAACTTACTTTATTCAATCATGATTTAACATATCGCCTAAGTCATCCAGTTTTCTTTTCGTGTACTATCCTAACATTAGTATGATGGTTGTGACAAATAATCTGCAAAATCTTTAAATGTTCGCGCTCAAGATCGAAGTTCCTGGGTTCGAAGCCTTTGAGGTGCAGGATTCGTGGATGCGCACTGCTGATGAGTCCCATACCAGGACGAGACGGCCATCCAGTGCTTCCAGGTTTCTAATGGTGGTCTACCATTGATCAATTCTTGATTTCGAATGTGTAATTTAACAATCTTCACAACCCCGTAATACTACATACTTTTTCTTTTTCTCACCTAAAGGAGTATCAACCTAAAAACATGTAATAATAGTGACTTTTATTCTATATAACGTTTTATAAACCAACATAATAAGTTCGTTGAGTTATTAAACTAGTTATAGACTCTTGTTTAATTAAAGACTTTCAAATGTTAACCTTTTGACAGCTCCATTCATTTGCTACATCGTTGAATCTAAATGAAAATCCATACAAATTTATTGTCATGATTAATAAGTAATATCAGATTACCTAATTGTCATATTTTATTAATCCTTCTAGAGATATTTTTTATTTATAGTTCATTAACTACACTTTTACTATTCGATCGTTACAGGTTAACTCATTCACGGAGTAATACTATCCATTTTGTGTATGTTGTTAAAATCTATAGTCTTGGCCACTGACTTACGCCAAGATAATATTAAACGTCACCATCTGCATCAGATGATTCGCAAAAATGACTTCTGGATTTTTTGCAAGCTCTTCTTTTTACACCCAAATTTATGGTCTTGTGTTTTCGTTTTTGTAGCCTTAAACTATTTACGAATTTCATTTTCTGTTTTCTGTAATTTCAGGAAACTACTGGATCATCAATCCAAGTATTAGGTGCAGATGCTTTGAGAGCTGCATTATTAACTCTTCAATTATCTCAACATCATGTTAATTTTGATGAGAATGTTGTATTGGAAATGAGAAAATTTTGTAATAAGGTAAAATGAAGTGCTACAATATTTTATGGTTTTTAGCTTTTCAATTATTTTGATAATTTCAATTCTACAACCTTATAATGAAAATTTCAATATTATCAGAGTTTAAAGCACTACGTAAAAGGCAACTCTGTTGACTTACATACATTTTATCAGTGAATTAGAAATTCAAACTCATAACTTACTGCTGTTACAGTTTCAGTTTGGTTAGAGATTTTTAATGACGTAGCTCAAAACTGTTTGCAATCGAGCAGGTGCACCCATTGTTTGTGTTCTCTCGAATCCTCATCATCTGAATTCTTTATGACCGTTTTTGCTCTCTTTCTTAAATTGATTCCTCTGACGTCTACGTCTCGAATGATGTATTCGATCATTAATCTTTTTGATTACTGCTGATACTTCTACTACCTCATCTAATATGAGATTTGAATTAACGACCGCGTCTCTGTGCTAATGTGGTGTGGCAACTTGAACTGACGTACGTACGTACGTAAGTACGAAGTCCTACGTTGTAACCAGCCGACTGACTGACAGTTTCAGTTGGTAAGGATAGAATTGCTGAAGACCTGTGTTAATCCTGTTAATATAGGCTTTTTATTTAATCTAATAGTTTCCGAGTAAATCTAAAAAACGATTTGATGTGCTGTCACTTCTTAGCAACTCCTTAAGAAATGCATGGGTTAGCCATAACCTATGTTCGTGGAACATATCTTTCTATAAGATGGTAACATTAAAGTCATGTCATATCCAAATTCATTATTCAGCAGTCTGAGAGCTGTAATTTACTATCAACCTTTAACTCTTTAAACGGTAAGTAGGTTATATTTAGTTTAACTAATTTAGTCTAATATAAAAATTTACAAATTTATTTATTTATTGTTTATTAAAATACTGCACACGTACAACACCATAGTTTCAGACAAGCAAATATATGGTATTATGATTGTTGTAGTGTTTAGATAGTTGAACACTTTGAGTAGTAACATACGTATCTTTCTTCAAAGGTCCAACCGCTTTCCTGATAATCATTTTGTGTGTGGCCATTCCTTATTTATATTCTACAAAAGTATATAGATTCAGTAACAGTAAATTCCTTTGGAGACCAGAATATCCCTCAGGAAATTCTATAGAGGCTTAGATATACCAGGAAACGCTTCATCCAGTCTGCTTTGATAAGAACCTACGCAGAAACATCTGGCAAATACAGAATCACGTGCCACGATTCTGACTGGGCATCGAACTATACCTCTACTACATCTAATATGGTTCTCGAACCTTCCGGAAGCCTACGATCATGAGTAAATTTATAAATATCCTCATTTTTCTGTACATAAACTAACCTTGCAGAAAAGCTTTCTCGTACTTTCCTCCTTTTCTCATGTGTTCAGGTTGCAGTGTAACTTTAGTCATGAGCTATTGCACCTTGTGTCCATTTAACAGACCTACCATACATCGTACTGATAGGTTTAAAATTAAACGATTATCATGTTCTAAATTTTGCCAATAATTAACACATATCACATTATAGTTAGTTATCAAGTTGATCCACCAATCATCATCATCCACAGCAACATAGGACTTCTTACGTAAGTACATCAGTTCAAGTTGCCATACCACATTAGCACAGAGATGTAATTGTCAATTCAAATTCCATAGCAGTAGAGATAGTAGAAGTATTAGCAGTAATCGGAGAGATTAGGGTTCGAAGATATTATTCAGGAAGTATAGTTCAGTGAGATAAATTTAGAAAGAGAAAGATAGAGGTGATGAGGAATTCAGAAGGTTAGAATTTCATAGAACACATAGAACCTATACACCTGCCCCATTGAAAACGATTTTGAGCCATGTCATTTAAGGTCTCGAACCATCGGTGACTTTCGTCTCGCAGACCCCAACCAGATAGCCTACATCTACCGACAGGATTCAGTCCACTTGTCAGTGACTTCATGTATTTCTGGCCGCCCCTAGCTTTCGTCCAGCCTATTCCTACATCGCGAAACATCGCTCATCGAGGCAGTTGGTTTTTGGGCATACGTAGCACATGTCCCAACCACTTGAAATGATGATTTTTTAATACTTCATCCATCGACCTGCCATCCTTACCTAGAACTCGTTTCCTAACGACAGCATTGCTTATACGGTTGTCCCATGATACACGAGTAATGCATACATTGAAACTATCAATTTCAGGTAAATTATAAACTTCATATAGAGTATTTCATCTTATTGCGAATGTTATAGATTATGGTCAGATATTATATAAAAAAATTAATCTATACGGATTACACGCAAATTTCAGTTCGTTTAAATCAAAACGTATGATGGAATAGATCAAAAATTCCATGTATATTCCACTTAACTATGAAAACTCGATCCTTGTACATAGAATTTTTAATCTGAAAATTCAAAGTATTCTAATATAAATTCTTGTTTCAGTGTAAAATTATCAATATATATATATATATATATTTTTTTCGTTTCTATAGATGTGGCAAACAGCTCGTTTTGTTTTAATTCAACTTCAAAAACAAGATGTATTTCAATCAATCTCAACTGCACATCATAAATCACTAAGTAATCAATGGATCGATTATGTAGGTGAATTAAGCAAAGAAAAGGTTAGTTATTCGCATGATGATTACTTATTTTAAAAAAAACTGAATGATTTGCATGAAAACATTTCTTTTAAACAATTTTCTTTTCGAATAATCATCATAACAGACTTGTATTGAACATTTAATATCCAATTTATGCTAACAGTGAATTGTATTTCAATTAAACACTGCCACCCACAAGAAACCACCAATTAAAATGAGTTTGTGTTGTTCCTCTATGTCGATTGTTTTTACTTGATTCAAAAATCAATTAGTGAGCATACTTCTGTTTTCTATGAAGCATTTTACTTACTAATTCTTCATTTTAATTAATCATATGTCTATATTTAAATTTGATCATTGTGTTAAACTGATCGTCAAATAAATATTCACTGTATTAACACTGATTACTTACTTACACCTGTCACCCCCAATGGCCGCCGACCAGTGTTCTCCAACCTATTCTCTCCTGGGGTTCCCTTTACATTTCTGTCCAATTTTTCATTCTTCCCATGTCTGTCTCCGTTACTCGGCGTAATGTGTTTCTTGGCTTTCCTCTTTTTCTTTTACCTTGAGAGTTCCAAGTGAGGGCTTGTCTTTTGACGCATTTGGGTGCTTTTAGCGATGTGTGTCCTATCCATTTCCAGAGCTTCTTCCTGAATTCTTCCTCCGCTCGAATCTGGTTTGTTCTATCCCACGACAGGTTGTTGCTGAACCACGGATCCGAAGTATTTTGCGTAGATAATTATTAACACTTATTAGTAATGGTTATAGTGTATGGATTTCACAAAAAAATAATCTATCCATTTTTATTTATTATTGTTGATGAGATCAATGTTATCTGCGTATTTTTTTTTGAAACAAAAACAAAAACAAATTTCACTCTAACAACAAATCAGCGAATTTTTTAATCATTCAATCAGTATCGATTGTATTTACACGTTTTGTTGATTTCTTCGACAGCTCATTTCATCCTAGAAAAATACTCTGTAAATCGGTTTTCAAAATAGTTGAAAGTGCAATACTGTAGTTCTATTAGTCTGCATGATAACTTATCTAACATACGGTAATGAGAAACAATTCGTGTTTTTCGCTTAAGTTTTCACTAGTAATTATTTGAACAATGTAGTGATTTTCTGTGCTATCCTGTAGACAAGATTTGTAAATTCTGCACTCTGTAGACAACGTTACGATCATTTAATTATAAATAACTTGAAGTTGAATATCAAGATGAATTTACCTTTAAGTTTTTTTCTTCCACTTTGCTTTCATCTCAACTTTATAAATAAATGATAGTTGGGACTGTTGAGATACCGTGATATACATAGACTTAGCTCACTCACTCCATCTGGAAGATCTTGTTGATCCTTCTTTGTTGACGATAAATAATAGGCATTTTTAATTTGTCAATTTTTAGTCCAAGTTTTATTTGTAAAAATTCTATTTAGTTCATTAAAATCAATTACAAACTATTCACCAGATTACTTCCTTTTTTCGCTTACAGAAATTACGATTATTTGATATATGGATTATACATAGATTATATCGACTAATTCAACTGATCAATACATCATGGATAGATCCTAGAGATATTGATTCTGATGGAGATAAATTTCACGCAGCAAATCACAAATCTCCCATCAGTATTGATCATGAACATTCAATGTGGTCATTTCATCATGGTGTGAAAGGAATGCAAACTTGGTGGATGAATGATCTATGCTCTATTTATTTAGAAGTGATTAAAAATCAAGGTGATCATTTGAAAAACAAAAAAAAACATTTTAAATAGTAATGTGAATATTAATTGTTCATTTCACTTTTTTGACAATAAATTCTTGGTATTCAATCAAAAAAGTTATTGATCGTAGAACGCGATCATGAAGGAATAAATTTGGTCGATCAAAGTTTTACGTACGAATCCGGTCGCCAGTCATAGTTTTCTCCAGAATTCTAATCAACATTCGTCTATTGACTTGATTTAAGAACCATTGTTCACATGGATGTTTGAAGTTAGTTGATCAATCAAACCCATATATATATATATATATATATCTTCAGTTTATGAAGCCAGTGATGATTGTAGGTAATGTGATGTATGTTAGTAGATACAGATTAGTCAGTTGACGCTCCCCAAATTATTGTAACCAATGGTTGGAGACGTTTAGTAAGATGTCCATCTTGATGTTTGGTGATAACATGAACCACCGATCTATATGTACACTAGATTTTATGCCCTATATAATTGATATTTTGTTAGTTTATCCAATAATAATTATCAAGATTTTTAATTCATAACAATGATTAATATTTATTTGATATACTATTCTAATGAATATGACAAGACAAAGAATATATCTTTGAGAAATTTATAGATTATTAAACGTATAGCTTAACAATATGTCATTTAATGAAAGTTAACATTGTTTCCGCTCATTGTAATACATACTATGCATAGAACAACATTGTTTATATATATATATATCTGTAATATAGATTTAATTTTTTTTTAAAAAAAAAGAATAATTTCATCAACTTACCCATAAACAACAACTGTTCGGGTAGTTCAATAAATAGAAAGATAAAAAGAGTGAGCGAGAGAGTTATGAATTGAATTGAATAGTATTCTTTGTCAAAAAAAAAAGAATTACTCAGTGTACAAAGCATGGACACGCATACATATTATATATACACTTGTCAAATTATTAACCGGCTTAATCTGTATTGAGAACATATTTACTTTACTTTGATGATAATTTATTGTTATCAATGCATTTTATTGGTGTTGTTGTTGTTCTGGTTCTCTTTCTGTATTTTATCCAGTTTCTACATCATCCAACACAAATTCATTTCACATTTTATATCTTTGTGTCATGACTGGTATTCATCTATTTCATCCGATTATGCCACATATCACGGAAGTTCTCTGGCATGGTTTAAATAGTAGTATGGTACAGAAAAAAGAGGAATTATTGTGTAATCCTGAAACTAGTTTACTAATGCAACCATTTCCTCAATGTAAATGGGTATGTTTATCATTATTATTATTATTGTTATTATAAACACTGTTATTGGTTAGAGTTGATTGTTACTAATATACCTGTTATGTCAAGTATCAATTATAATCAAACCAAGGCGATTGCAACAATATGTATCAATGCTACATGTAGCATTAATACTGTGAAAAAAATATGACACAATTATGGATGAAGGTGGAAAAAATAAAAATGAAAACACCATTCTTCACTTCATGGTAAACAGAAATATAGTTCAAAGAGTAACAAATATAAATCCGAGAGTAACATGTATAAGGAAACATACTTACTTTACTTACGCCTGTTACCCCCAATGGAGCATAGGCTGCCTACCAGTTCTCTCCAACCAACTCTGTCCTGGGCCTTCCTTTCCAGTTCTGTTCAATGTTTGTTCATTCCTCTCATATCTTTCTCTATTTCTCGGCGTAATGTGTTCCTTGGCCTTCCTCTTTTCCTTTTGCCTTGAGGGTCCCATGTGAGGGCTTGTCTCGTGACGCAGTTAGGTGCTTTCCACTGTGTGTGTCCTATCCACTTCCACCACTTCTTCCTGATTTCCTCCTTCACTGGAATCTGGTTTGTTCTTTTTTTTTAAAAAAAATAAGGAAACATAATGCAGTGAAAATATCGAATGATGGTATAAATAAATCAACCTAATATGATCCTTGTAGTCGATTGCTACACGTATCATTATCGAATTTCTTAAAACACAAATTGAGATTATCATAGATGATTTGAATAGTCAATTAGTCCATTGGAAAGTAGCACACTTAATAAGTCGATTGATTGGACTATGTGTCAATTCCAAATGGTTTTATGTTTTACAATGTATGATATTTTCATTGTACTTTCCGGTTATCTAAACGATTCATTTATTTTATCGTATTTCTAGTTACTTGTTTGTTTGTTTTCTTTTAATGAACACACACACACAAATTCGTCAATCATATTGTCTACACAGTTTGAATTTTTGTATCGTGATGACCATGGAATTTCATTGGATCGCGTTGAACAACTTATGTCTGAATTGACTACAGTAGCTTCAAATGTCAATTCTTGGCGTCCTCTACTTAAATTTATAAATCATCATATGTCAACAACTAGTCCTGCTGAATTGAAGAAAGCTAAATCGGATAGCGTTCATTTGATAAAAAATATTAGCAATTCAACTGTTTCAGACGATGAATCCGCTGTATTGAAAGCACTAACAAGTATAAACTTGAAATCAGATATGCTGAAAAGTGATAATTATGTTTATATACCTGTGTATAATAATCAAACTGATTGGTATTTATGTATAAACAAAACAGTAAGTTAATGTTGAATGTGTTTCGATCTATTTAAAATACTACTTTATTATGATCAGTAGAGTCGAGTAAACACTTTTGAATAATGATTTTTATAGCATCAAAGTAATCAAGGTGGTTGAAAACAAATTTTTAAAAAGAATTCTATTATTTCTGTGATCTAATAGCTATTGAGATGGTATAAGGAATTTTCTAATTGTTTACAGTACTGCGCTGTTGATTTACTAAATCATTATATACAAACCTTTAATTTGTACGTAATAAGTTTGCTTTTTTAGAGTTTAAACATATGAGCTAACATAATACTGAAATGGTTGGGAGAAAGAAAGATGTCTTGGAACAGATAAATTAATTGAGAATTTCGCCTACATCACACGAAAAACAAGTACTTGATTTTGACAAAAGCTTTCGAAAATCATTTAAAAAAACCTTGATTCTGATTATCAAAGTTCCATAAAACAAATAGCTTGTTCATAAGTGACTTCCAACCACATCTTTCGCTACTGCGGAATCAGTCGGTTAATGCATTAACAGAGTATCTATCCTGAGCAATCGGTAAAAACATTTCAAAGTATCTATAGGAGCAGATAGGGCTTTTTATCAATTGCACACTCACATTTACAATTGATCACTTAGTCAAAATCCAATTGAATCAATTTTCAAATTCAGTAAATGTACAATACTAATACAGTCATTATCCTATGCCTCTTGATAACACTTTGGATATTGTCTAACTGCTGTTACAGTTTTTTTTTTAATAAAACCTCTGAAAATCCATCTGGAAGCTAGCTGGTAATAACTTGCTACATAACAATTGATATGTTGAGATTTGGATTTCTGCGTTCGAAAATTATTCGTACGTTAATAAGATCAACAACAACAACAAAGAACTCTAATTTTTAGGATTTCGGAGTTTAAAAGCGACAGGAATGTCTACAGATTACTACATTTTATGGACGACAAATTAATTAAAGAGAATAATTGTTTGTCTAGTACATATTTTGACATTTCATCGAACTGGTTATTTTGTTTAGAAACTTACTTTACCTTAGTAAATAATAAATTTTAAGATAAATAACTTACCAGACACCATCAACCTTGTAAAAGTTTGTTGACTGTCTTTAGTTTATCATTGGAAAAAAATTAGGAAATAGTTGGATTTCAATTACTCACCCATGTTCAAAAGAAGACCCTTCAACTTCCAGGGCAGAGTTTAAATTGTTTGAATTATTTTTTCTGGTTAGCGTCTTCTAGCGAATTAGTTTTCGATAGAATGCGACAGCCAACTCTATGCCCAACCCTCTACCTTGATCCAGTCTTAGGGCTGGCGGCAACCCTATAAAGCCTCCTGGCGGAATCACTTGATGCAACTTGATGCTACAATATTTTCTATTAAAGGTATTTCTATTAATTAATATTTAACTTGTTCATTTGAATAAATGATGTATGTTTTTTTTTAAAAAAATTAATTCGATTATACAGGCATATGATCTTGATTGGGCTAGAAATGAATTACAACTTCAAATTGATAAATCATATAAACGTAAAGAAGATTTAGCAAGTATATTAATGAAGCAAAGCACCAAAAATAAAGAGGAATTAAATCGATCAAAGGTAATGAAACAGTTGATTGTTTTTTTCCCTGTGTGTTGTTTTTCCCCTTATTGTTATTGATCTATTTCATTATAGTGCTTTCCAGTTTTTTTTTCGGTGTAAAAACCTGTCAGTTCGTATTTGGCACCCAAAAAAAATATGAATAGGATAGTATAAAACTTGAAAAGTGCTAAAATGATCATTTAAATTGATGAAAAGAGCTTTAAAAGTAAATGCTTCGAAACAATTAAATAACTCTTCAGGACCATTTTCAGACACATTTGTTACATTTAATAATGTAACGTTGTGTTTTACTTCCTGGAAGGTTTTGAGTAGTAGTGTCATCCTTAGATTAAATAGTGGAATAAATTATTCCTTAATACTGTTAACCTACACTTTTGATTAAATAATTAACATTTTCAAAATCACGCTACAGAATTAAGTAATGTTTGTCATTGTGATTATTTCAGTGTATTTTTATCATACAACATTTGTTTATTGCAGAGAATTGGAAATTTTATTCACATGAATTTTTTTCTGCTTTATGCAACACATATTGAATCAGCAAACAGAATAATTGACTGTTCAGTGAATTGTTTATTTCTTTAAGTATCTATTTTTGTCTATACAAGGGAATCGTAGTTACAGTCAATTTCATATGTGCTAATTCATAATCAATTAGTAGAATGTTATATCATCATCAGTTGAGGTGGTTGGCATATGTGTTATGAATGTCCAACCACCGACTGCCTTGACGAGCTATGTTTTGTGGTGTAGGAGTAGGTTGTAAGGAAGTTAGGGGCGGCCAGACCAAAACATGGCAGAAATCCATGAAGTCACTGATAAGTGGACTGAGTCATGTTGGTAGGTGTCGGCTACCTAGTTGGGGTCTGCGAGATGACAGTAATCGATGGTTGGAGACCTTGAATGACATGATTCAAATTTGTTTGCAATGTCGCATATGCATTTACTCTTTGTGTTTGCTGAAATTCTAATCTCCAGGATTCCTCATCATCTCTATCTTTTTCTTTCTAAAGTTATCTCACTGAACAACACTTCTTGAATAATATCTTCGATCCCTAATATTCTCCATTACTGCCAATTCTTCTATGGTTTTTGAACTGATATTTGCGTCTCTGTGCTAATGCGGTATGGCAACGTGAACTGATGTACGTACGTACGAAGTTCTACGTTGTAAATGACTTACTGACTGATGTTACATCAATAATCTAACAAGGATTTTATTATTGGCTCAATCATTCACTATCTATTAAAGAAGTCAATGTTTCAGCCGGAAATGACTCGAACAGTTCTGAATTCAATATTCTATTCTATCTTTTGTTTGTTTGTTTTATTTACATTTTATTTATAGATTGAAGTGATCGAGAGAAAAATAGAAAAACTTGAATATCAACTGTCTTGTTTGAAATAGAATGAGAAATTTCGATCGAATTCGATTATTGTGTAGCATTTTCTTTTCTGATTATTGACTACTTACTCACTTATAATTTGTGTATAATTATGATGAATTGAATAAATTCTTTGTATAGATACTTATTTGTTCTTACTTCTATCTGTCGGGAACTTAAGAAAAAAGAAGCACACCTATTGTTAGACTATTAATTAAAGTTTTTGTTCCAATGCTTCATCTAAGCATGTTTCAAGTACACTTTGTAAATTTCAGATAATCTACACAGTACATTCAATCGTTATCAGTTTTTTTTTTAATTTAAATAATCGAATATCACAGTTTAATTTGATTGTATTTTTTTTATTTATCTATTATGCATAATAATTTTTACTGAATAAGTTAAGCATAATGACTCTTTGTGTTTAAAAGCTTGAACGCTTACTTGTCTGATGTCTCGATTGCATTCAGATAATGAGAACTAAATAATAGACATTCACAAGCCTTTTAAATAAATAAATGCTTAAGTACTACTTTTACATCGTACTAAGCTTTAAAAATTCTGAAATGAATTTCTTATTTAAACATGAAATCTGATAGTTATCCAAAGATTGTACGCGGATCAAGTACTTCACTGAACAGTATTCGAAATTACCGTTTGTAAAATTGAATCGGCACCATATAGATATAGTTTAGTGCTGACCACTTATTTAAGTCATTGGATGTGTTTATGAACAATGTTAGGTATTAACTGAATTGAAAACACGGATTTCAGGTAGTTTATTATTACGCGCGTTCATCGACTACTTTTCGCAATACTAGTAGTAAGATCCATTTTTGAAACCTTTGTATACATTTGTAATTTGTCCTTATTGATTTCCTCAGTTGTACATTTTGTTAGTCTGTTTGATTTCATTTGAGATGATACTATTTGTATTTTATTATAGCTTCTATTTTATTCTGCCTTTACTGATTTTCTATGTTTCTTTCTGAAGTGCATTTAAGTTGTTTAAGCTGATACTTGGTCATTGTGACAGCCATTTTTGATTGTGTTGGTTGCATTCACTGGAATTGTGCATTTTGATTGTGAATTGAAGAACCCTTCAAGAATAAGAAGCACTCTGTGTTATAAAGTGACTAAATATTATCTTTTGAAGGGATCTGATCTATCCAGAAAGGATAGAATAACATTTATTTGTTGCTTTTGATTTGAATAATTGAACAGTTGTTGGTGGAATAACTGAGTGGCAATATTTTTTTAGGTAATGATAAATATTAGAACCGTTATTTACCCAAATCACTTGCTTCGATTTCAACTGGTCAAGACGCGTATCTAAATTACCTAGACAGTTATTCCTCAGTTTGGATCCTACACTAGTGACAACGTTTGTTTTCTGATTCAAATGGTTTCGCTACACTGAATTCATATCCGAATATTAAACTGCTTGAAATATTTAGTAGTTTGAGACTTTAGTGGTAGTAGTATCAGTAGCCTTCACCTATTAGAGCGTTGCTTGAATCCAAGTACACAAATTTGTACCCGATGAATAAGCTAAGGTGAATTTCATGAACTTATGTCAATTGAAAAGCCATCGAAAATCTATTAGCAATGGATTTTTTCGAATTATTCATGCAGTAACAGTTGTTTCAATGATTTAATCACATGAGATTTTAGTAAATTTAACACTACAGGAATAATTTTCTTTGAGATATTTGTTTTCATAGATGTTAAGCCAGAAGTTTATTAATAAATTTTAGTTTGTAAAAATTTATACATTGAGTATTATTAAAATAAATCAAGAATGTTAAGAAGTGCAAGAATCCAAATTTCCGAATCGGCTTTGTGTGCTGAAAACATTTATTCATTAGTCAATGGTATTCTTTTTCGTTACATTAGGTGTCACTAAAAATGAACTGCAAGAAAATCAAACGAAAAGAATCTTTGTTTATAATTTCAAAGTGTTTTCAAGAAAACATTGATGCTGTTCACTAAAAGAAATCTACAGAATGTAGAATTTAGTTAATTCATATTTCTATACACGAGAACTGCTATTTTTACTTGACTGAATATATTCCCACTATGAGACTTCTAGATTTTTACTTCCATCTCTTGAAGTGCTGGGGTTTGACAACCTTACTGAGAAGTCAGAAAGTAAAATTAAAAAATGATTCCATGTTCAGCGGTAGTCAATACTCATTAAACTAACTCAGTTGCTGATGAAAATCAACTCCAAAATACATGGAAAGCTGACACTGAAAAATGGAGAATATCTGTCCAACTTTTTTCTCAACGAATATTTTTAAAAACAAACCCTGAATACGATGTTCTGATCACTATCCAAGTAAAATGGATCACAAGCTCCTTCAAACCCACGTAATAAATGAGATGCAAGTATGAGTGGACTTGGGCCTGTTACTCTTCTTAAAGCATAGGCTGCGAACCACCATTCTTCAGACCACTCTATCCTGGGCTTATTTTGCAGTTCTACGCAATTTATATTCATTCTTTTTCTGGATGTCTCCAATGCTGAGCGTGATGTGTTCTTTGGAGTTGAGGATTCCAAGTTACGGCTTGCTTCATGGCGCAGTTGTGTGATTTCGGTAATGTGTCTCCCATCCACCTTCAGCGCTTTTTCCTAATATCTTCCCCAACTGTAGGAATCTGGTTTGTTCTCTTCTACAGAAGATTGTTACTGATGATCTTTGGGTGGACTGTTGTAAATGAATTATCCATCTGGGTTAATCCGATCTTCTTTATGTTTATTCTCATTACTCTAGCAAATTAAGAGTTTCTTATTTCCTACAAACATATTACAATATTCCTTAGGTACTTGGCCTAATAGTACTGTTTTAATCCACCTTGTAATAAAGTGTCCTCAAAACTTCTTTGCCTAAATCGGCACTAATTTTTACAGTTTAGAAAGCGCATTAATTTTTTTTGTGTGTAATATTTCAATAGAAACATGTAAAGCTTTCAAATTTTCATTATAAATCCTTATTTTCAGTAATTAGAAACAAATAATGTTAAACAGAGTGGATAGAGAATAAACGTACATGTGTACAGTTAAAATTAATTCCAGGTAAACGTTCATTAAATAAGAAAGTATTACCAACGGTTGCAACAACAGATTTTCAAAGTAAATCAATACCAGAAAGATGATACCAAATTCTTAACACTGACAAACTAGAAAAAATTACTTCTTACCATCTTAAATATCATTTACATCTTTAATATTGATCAGAAATTTGATACACAACGTATCGTTGAACTTTGAAATTTAAATAATAAATTACAATAACCAATTTTCAAAACATTATTTCACTTGAATACATTGGAATTGTTATTGTTTTCATGAACTAAAATTGACTGTTGATGAAAAGTTAAGTATTTTCATCACCATCGTGTTGTTGGTTTATTAGTTTCAGTAATTAATAGTACATCATACTGATCGCCTAATCGAAACTAAATAAATAAATATTTAACAAATGTAACATTTCTCCAAATAAAAAAATTTATTTTTGAACTTTTAAAATAAATTTTATTTCAATATCCAAAAAGTACTTTTATGATTTAGAGATCTGACAAATTCTATGGTCATTTTATATTCAATTATAAAGTAAACTCATGAGCGAACAATATTGAAATCTTTAAGATATGATATAGATAAATTAATTATCTAGTACCTTTTGGTTCGCATAGTTGGTAAAGACATTAAACAGAAAGCTGCTTATCAAATTTTAACATTCAAGTTCAGAATGTAACCACAAGACTAAGTAGTTGGAAATTACAGTAAACTGTCTAAGTGTTCTAAAGACCGTGAAATTCAAGTTTTACATTTTCGAAAGTATGGGACTCTTCAGCAGTGCACATCCACGACTCTTGCACCTCGCGGAATTTGAACCCAGGACCTTCGGTATTGTGCGCGAACGCCCTAACCGTTAGACCAAGAGCCGGCATCTGACGGTGTCAGATGTCTAACTTGATCAAATTCACGGAGTTGCGCAACCTCATACACGGTCTTCGGTAGACACTGCCTACACCCGAACAGGTTGAACTTCACTGGTCACGTCTTCCCACTAGAATTCGGTGGTCTAACATTGATCGATTCATGCTTTCAAAAATGTGTAACTTAACAATCTTCACAACCCCGTAATGCATTTAGGTTTTATGCTAACTGGCATCCATCAACGATGATGAATAACTTTGTGAGGACTGAATCTCACTCTCAAGGTAGTCTCATCCTTCTTTGAGAAGCGTCATACTTTTCAGCATTGCGGCTGTGTTTCTGGTAAGTCCCAAATAGCACTCAACCTAGGTCCGGAGCTTCGTGCTGATCGCCTCCAGCGATCTGGTAAGTATACATACGTATATATGACTGTATCGATAGATGTCAGTTTATTCGCTTTACAGGTACTGGATATTTTTCCATTCGCCAAATTTATTTATTTTAATGAAATGTTAGAGGTGAAAAACCAATGTTTATAGATAAACTATGTTAGATATAACCCATCAGATTACTCAAGATAATTAAATCTGAAAGGTGGTATATATAGAACAGTCTTATAATAGTCATTAACTATAAAAGTAACCAGTTACATAATTTATTATCTGAGTCAGAAGAATTGCCAACTAATTATATCTCATTCTTGTCTCGGTCAATCAGTTTTATCCAAGGGTATCAATGTGTAGATCAAATTCAACAATTAGCTTCGTTAGTATAAGGGTTATGGCCGATTACTGATGACAACTTATCGCGAAACCTGTAGGTCCTGGCTTCTATCTCTTTTGGCGACTTGTATACTCATAGCTGAAGAGTATAACCCTATTATGAAAAAGAAGTGTTCAATACTTCTTGGTTTCTGATGTCGTCCAACAGTAATACTTAGTTAGAAAAAGAACTGTAAAATACTAGCTTGATTTTTATTATGTAATTTACCAATTAAATTATATATTGATCTAAGCTTAAATCTAATGAAAGTGAATAGTTTGAAGACGGCAACATCTTTAATACGCACAACTTCTTTGTATATTTCTTCCTGTGATAAGAAACATTGGTTGTCAATTATTCATTTCAAGAATTCAGTCGAGACGAATATTTATTTCCTACTTTGAATTGTGATGATACTTAATGGGATG